AAATTGTGAAGAAAAAGCAAAGAATAAGAAAAAGTAGATGTTTTGTGAGGTTCACCAACGGCGACTATCAAGCATGTTAGCGTTCATTCCCTTATATCGAAAGATATGACTGGAGTTACTCACCCAAAAGCCGCAGCAACCTTGACCCTCGGCGCAACCTTCTTGGGAACCACCTTTGACTTCACGGGCTCATTAGGCTCGTCAGTCAAACCCAGCAGCTCTTTATCCAGCGCCGTAAGGGGGGATTCGCTGCGTTCGCTTCTGCTGCGACTACGGCTCCTACTACGAGTCAAGCTACGACCACGGCTAGCAGAGCGACTGCGCTTTGCAATGCTTCTTGCTGGCGAGAGATAGGACGAAGCCGGACTACGGCTGCGGCTGGGACTGCGGCTACGTGACCGCGTCCTTTTCCTCTGCTGGTATGGCCCTGAAAGCGGTCGGTTGTCTCTGTCTCTGTCCCGATCCCTGTAATCATCGCGATACGAGGATCTCCGGGGTTTGCGCTCCTGCGAGCGGCTACGACTGCTGTGGTAGCCGCTGTCGTGGCGCATGTCCGCATACTGGGATGGTCGCTCTCTCCCTCTCTCCTTGTCTCTGTCGTCTCTGGACGACGAAGACCTATGGTCGTAGTATGTGTCCCTATTATAGCGATGGTCGGTTGATGGGACCTTCGTCTCACCAGCCTGTGGCGACCAGGGATCGGCACTGAAACTATACCTGGGATTTGGAGAGGGTCTGCGAGGAGGTGGTGGATTGGCATCACGGCCACGACCCCGGTCAGGAGTGTCCAGACTCTGTCTGAGCCGCTTTGCATCCCTGGGATCACGATCACGTCCGTCAAAAGTGTCGTCCAGAGGCCGCTTTGGGTGTTGCTGATAACATCGATGTGCTCGGTCAAATCCGGATGGTGGTTGGTCACGAGGGGCGGAACGTTTGGGCGAGAAATTACGGTGCTGGTCAGGTCGTGGGCGGTATCGGTCAATTTCCGGCGTCTCTTTTGGTTGGTTCCGAGAGATTGTGAATTTCGGTGGAAGCTTCAACTTGGCTTCTGGATGAGGAGGCGCAGATATTATATGAGTCGTGTACTCATGCTCGCCGATGCGCTTCCTGATCATCCCCGGGTAGAACTTAAAGACAGGGTCTAGCTTAAGAACAGACCAGAAAGATGTCTCCCGGACCGAGAAGGCAAACTCCTTTTCATTTTGATCGTTGAAATAAAGAGACTTGACGCATTTGGCATTGTATGCAGGCGGAATCGTGGGATCATCCGTGTAAGTCGCAGGTAGAGGAATTCCGACCGGATCCGCCGGCTTGAAGTCAAGTTCAGGAAAAATGCGCTGCAAATCCTTTTCAGATGCTGGATCCCATTCACCGTTTCCTACATCCTCCTTGGGCTCGGGAACCGCTGTCTTGGAATTGGTGGGCTTGGAAGTTCGCTCAGGCTGGACTGTTCGTGGCTCCTTTCGGCGTTCTTGTCGCCCAGGTCCGGCTCGGCCCTCTGAATCATTCACATTTCGACGCCTGTCATTCCTGTCGTTCCTCTCGGCTCTCTCGAACCTCGCGGGCCGGTCGTGCCTCTCAGGACTTTGGTTCCTATCATTTCGCTCAAAGCGATCGATTCTGTCGAGCCGTTCGCCCCTTTCAAAACCGTCATCTCGATCACGTTTGTCAAACCTGTCCGACCTATCATACCGGTCATGGCGGTCAAACCTGTCGACTCTGTCTTTCCCTTCATCTCTGTTGTGCCTGTCGTGTCTATCTCTTTGCGCATTCGAATGCTTCAGGCCTTGATTCTGTCTCTTGCCACGATGCTTGTTTGCGCCAGAATTGGATGGCGGAGGGGGCGGTAAGTGGGGAGGAGCAAATGGCGGTGGTACCCACCCGGTAGGAGGAGGATACGTAGGGTTCTGACCTGGTGAGTAATGGTATTCCGGCTGCGGTGGCCCACTGTAGCTACTAGGATAGGGAGGTGGTACAGGAGGCGGCGGCACGGGAAGCGGTGGACCTGGTTGAGAATAGGGTTGCGGAGGATAAGCCCCAGGCGGGGGAGGGGGAACGCCGTTCGGGTAGTAGTTGGATGGGGGATACGGAGGAGGATATTGCGGCTGTCCGTAAGGAGGCTGCGGTGCGTACTGCGACGGAGGCGGTGGTACAGCCGGCGGAAACTGGCCATACACAGCCGGCGGCGGGGGATGGTAACTCCCGGAATATGTTGGTAGCGGCGGTGGTGGTGGTGGTGGAAAAGAGGCCGGAGGATAAGCTTGGATCGACGGCGGCGGTGGTGCACCAGGGGGATACGCCGGTGGTTGCGGAGGACCGTATCTTGTGATGGTAGGGCCTTGGCTAGGAGGCAACGGATACCGAGTGACAACGGGCCCCTTTTTATCATGGGAGGCAGCGTTGCGATCCGACGAATGACCTTCCTGGTGCTGAGACTGCCATCGTTGAAGCCCGCTGGAAGGACTGTTAGTCACAAGGTGTAGCAAGTGCGTACCCGTTTGTTACAAAGACAGATGGGCCAAAGAGACCCAAGGTTACTCACGCAGGCACATCCCTAGTAGGCTCTGGACAAGCGACAACCCAATGGCCCCGAGTGCCGCAGTTATAACATATTGGTTCTTGTTGGGAGGAGGACTGTCCCGGAGCGGAGTCGACCGCTGCGGCGGAAGACATGGTATATACGGGTTGACCGGGGGGTGAGCAAAGAGAAATAGTGTTGGGTCACTATGATGAAGAGGAAAGATGGAAAAGAAAAAAAGAATCCCCGGCGATGGGCTGAAGGCGAGGAGGAAAAGCCACTTAGGCTGCGTATAACTGCTGAATGGAGTAGGTATTTCAGGAGTAGCCTTGTAGTCCCGTGGGTGTAAATATAAAGAGGACCTTGTAGGCGATGATGACTTGTAGCTTCGCTGATGGATGGCGAATGCCTATGATGGATCAGGTTCGCTGCGAGGACATTAGCCTGGCGAGCGACCACCGGGAAGCAAAGAGAGGGTCTCTAACAGAGAGCAGATGCAGATGTGAGCACTGGGAATGTCGCAACCTTTTGGACATGTATATCAACGGGCGCCTCGAGAGCGATGTATATCCAGGCCCGACGTATGCCAGTTGCGCGTCTGTGCCACACGATCCGATTGACCGGCAGCGGGACACTTGAATGGTTTGGGATATACTGCTGTGGCAGTCACTCTTTGTAGGGTGTCGAGGAAGCCGCCAAAAACTAACAAAGCCGCGGCGTCAAGAGATGCCGGATTGAAGATCAGAATGCAACGAAAAGTCTAGAGGCAAGGCTGCGACAAGTGGCCTGTCTGCCGGCGTGTGGTTGTGGTGTTGTGGAATCGGTCGTGGCTCGACTCTGTGAGGTTCAAATTGCGAACCAGCTGACTTCGGTTGCCCTACTGACTTCCGATGCAAGTCGCATTTTTGGAGGTTGAAGAGCGCCGCCGTCAGAAGTTCAGCCGCCACCCTCTGGGCGCAAGTGAGCGGGGGCTGACACGCACGAATCACGTGAGAAACAGCCCCTTACTGCATCGGGAATTGGGGTTCTGGCCCGGCTCCGACTCGGCAAGCTGCGTTTGCGTCCCATCGCTTTGATATGGTTGATGTTGGCTCCTTTCTTGCTTTCATGATTTGGTTTGGAGATTGATAGGTTCTAGGAGAACTAGAGGTATAGAGAATAGGACGACGCCTGCAAGAGGCAGAAGCACAGGGCTGGCCATCTATGTAATTCGACAATTACATCCACCTCAGAGGGGGTCATATAGTAAACATGGAGGACAAGGGGCCAATTCTGAGAGCTAGAATGAGGAAATGAAACGTGTTACCTTTTGAATCTTCCCGTCCCTAATCTCCCCGGTGACAGAGAAGTTGGTCCGAGTAAGGGGCTGCCAATGTTGACTGTGATCGACCTCAATAAAGATGATCGCATCGAAAGCCCTCCACTGCGTCCTCGATAAAAGCCCATAGAGGACATGACAAAGACATGTTGCGATGATATCACGCAGGATGCCCCGTCATGATCCCCATACACCGTCCCATCGTTGGCTGTCATGGTGGACAGCAAGACCATGAATGCCTTCCTCCCTGTGACCAGATACTACTCGTTGATCAACTCCTGAACTGCGATCCAAGGCAGCCAACTATGGAGCTCGATAAGCTTCAATCGAGCTTAAACGCCAGTGAAAGAGTAGGCATATGAAGCATAAAAAAAGAAATAACCTCGGGCTCAGTCCAACAGAGGCCTCGCCAGAGAGGGCAGAAACAACGCTTTCAAAGGCAGTGAAGCCTCAGACGACGCCAGAGAGCAACACTGGACTTTTGCGTCTTGGTCCTGGGAATCTGGCCAGCAATCAATAGACAGAATGAACAGAAAAAGCAGAAAAAGCCATCAGATACAAAGTGTGGACCGAAAAGCCCGGAACTATTGGCAGAAGAGCACCGAATCAAACCAATGCGTCCGTTGACACAGCTGAATGATGGGGAAATGAGTTCGCCGAGATATCTTCAGAGGTGGCCGTGGACGCAGCAAAGCAGCAGAGGTGCAAGAGAGAGGAACAGGGAAAGGAATTTGTGAGGGTCCAAGTTGGAAGAGAGGAGGGAGACCGCTGGCTTTTGTATGAACCGGCTACCAAGTGGGGCACAAGCACCCAGTCCCTTCCAGCACGTGTGAGGCCGTGAGTGATGGAGAGCCGGGGATTCAGGGCGTCAAGAGCCTGGGCCGCCGGGTGAGCTGCCGCACGGGCCTTTTCAGTGACGGGCCGGGATGACGGGCGGTTTCCAGGTTCCCAGCTGTCTGCTTTCCACTTCCATGTTGCCCAGCTGAGTGTCAAGGAACCGTCAACACTCAGCGCAGCTGGCCCGAATGAGGGCACGTCACATCGTCAGCAGCAGCCCAGGGGCACCTCCACTGCAGCTGGGAGGCAGGTGCAGCGCGTCGAGCCTCCTTGGATTCGCCAGGAAAGGCTTCAGCACTCAGGATTGCGCTTCTCCCTCGGCTTCCTCAGCAACAAAAACACCCGTCGCCTTCATTTCCACCTCAGTACAGACTGTACTGCTACAGTACCAATTTCAGACGGAAAGGTGTATTCCTGTTAGGCCGCTTGCGACTGTTCTCTCAGAATCCGTATACCACATTTCTTCCCTCCCAACTTTCAATTTTGAATTTTTTATTTTTTTTAAGCAAACTGAAGCTGAGCTGTCCCATCATCAAGTGACTGGAGGATTGCGCTCCGTCGTCTGCTGAAGCTCTTTTGCCCCGTTCGATGTGACAATAACCATCTCTCCGAACATGTTGATTCGCATCTATCCAACCACCACCACCACTGACATCGCTCGCGCTGGGAGAAGCACCAGCCTTTACCTACCAACTGCAAACGTGTCCAAGTTGTGTTTCTAGCGCCGTTCCATTGATCCTACTACACGAGAGCATCATCTCTGCCCGTCATGCCTGGCCTTCCCCGTAAGTTGGTCCATTGCACCCTTTGCGCCACCAACGTCGAAAACAGCGGACAGGTCCATGCCCCTCCTCTTCTTGCCCATCCCACGCCCCGCCAAGAAAAAAAAGACACCGACAAACACCCAACATACATCCAACGGCGAAGGCATACGACAACCGCTGATATGTGACGTACCGTATAGCTTCGGTCGACCTCGACGAGTGTATCTCGCGCCTTTACAAAAAGGAACTACTCGCTGAATCGGTTATCGAGGCGATATGCGCCAAAACAAAAGAGCTGCTAATGCGCGAGAGCAATGTCGTGCATGTTCGCGCCCCCGTTACTGTTGTCGGTGACATCCACGGCCAGTTCTATGATCTGATAGAGATATTCAGGATCGGTGGCTACTGTCCAGACACGAATTATCTATTTCTAGGTGGGTGATGATCTTGGTAGTAGTGGTGGAAGCAAGACGCGGGCGGCGCGTGCCCCCCATGCGATTGCTGCTGAAATGATCATGTTTGGCTAACCTTGGGAGAAAAACAACAGGCGACTATGTCGACCGAGGCATGTTCAGCGTCGAAACCATTTCTCTTCTTGTTTGTTTAAAACTGAGATACCCCAACCGCGTCCATTTGATTCGAGGAAACCACGAGTCCCGCGGCGTAACGCAGTCTTACGGCTTTTATACCGAGTGCTCGCGCAAGTACGGCAATGCCAATGTCTGGCATTACTTTACCGACATGTTTGATTTCCTCACATTAAGTGTGGTCATCAACGACCAAATATTCTGTGTACACGGAGGTGCGATACCCCCTTTCTGGGCGCTAGGTGTACAAGCCAGTTGCTAAACCTCTTTTTTTCCGCGCCAGGTCTCTCCCCTTCGATCCACTCTATCGACCAAATCAAAGTAATCGACCGCTTCCGAGAGATTCCTCACGAAGGCCCCATGGCCGACCTAGTATGGTCTGATCCCGATCCCGACCGCGACGAGTTCAGTTTATCACCCCGCGGCGCCGGCTACACTTTCGGAGCGCAGGTGGTCAAGAAGTTCCTGGCGGTGAACAACATGAACCACATTCTGCGCGCGCACCAGCTCTGTCAGGAAGGGTATCAGGTGCTATACGACGACCGGCTGAGCACGGTATGGAGCGCGCCCAACTACTGCTACCGGTGCGGAAACATGGCAAGTGTCTTGGAGGTCAGCGATACCGGAGAGCGCTTCTTCAATGTGTTTGCGGCCGCTCCTGAGAACGACGCCGTTAAGGATCAGCAGATGAATCAGGACAAGTCGGCGGAGGGGGGCGCATTGCCGGATTACTTTTTGTAGTAGTCGGCGAGAGACGGGAACCCCCCCTACATAGTACGCATTCAGGGCGAATGGGGATAGAGGACTGGAACAGAGAGCATGAGCGTTGCGGATGGTCTTGGCTTGAACTTGTTCGCACCAAAGAGTGTGAATACACTGCATATACCCACGCTAGCGACCGCAATGTCATAGATTAGAAGCAGGCATGAATGATAGAGGTACTCGGGACAGTTTTTTTTTTTTTTTTTCTCTACCAACAGCAAGCCCTCCGAACTTTTTCATAGCAGACAAGAGAAACCGCAACACCTGAATTGCGTATGTGAGAGTTATGTGTGTTTATACTACTAAGATAAGATATGTATGTATGTAGATAAATATAAGGAAGTTTTCTCCTCTTCCCCTTCCCTCCTGCCCGGAAAGGGGGGCGTATACCCTAAAAAGACCAAACCATCCTGTGGCTCAGATTCCATTCCGTTCCGTTCGCTTGCCTTTCCAGTCCCATACCTAGATAAGGTGAAACAGACGTCGGTGTGTTTCTACCTGCCTTTCCCTTGTCGAGTCCCGGTAGTGTAGTGTATCTTTCTCCCTGTTTCTTCACTTCCGAAACAGAGAGGAAGCGCGTGTTTAGTCTTCTTTCCTCAGTATGATTGATTCCATCTTCATCCTCTATCGAGTTCGCTCCTCGTTCGCGAATGGCGCATCCCTCTTTGCCCACGAAATCAACCGAGGGCACAGCAGTTCGTCACAGTATGCCAACAGCGAAGTGTATGTGTGTATCCGATGCGGCTGACTAGCTGGACCGAGTGACCGGCTAGCTTAGGGCGAGAAACTAGACGACGATGACGGCGATCTAAACCCGAAAGTAGTTTACCAGTCCTTGGCAATATCGAAGCTCCACTCGAACTCGAGATGGGTCTTGCCATCGTCGTCGACGAAGCGAGAGACGGCGTTGTAGTTGCCACGGGCGAGCATACCAGTGGGGGCCTCCTCCTCGGCGACTAATCGTTGCGTAAACTCGGTCAGCTATTTTCCGCCCCTATTCACAAGGACAAACAAGCGGACAGGATGTCTGTCAAAAAGAAGAAAAGAAAACAGGAAAAAAAACTCACAAGTCTTGGTGTACATGGGATTCTTATCCGTGTTGGGCGCATAACTGCCAATCATCTCACTCGTCTTGCCACCGGGGATCCTGATCTTGCCGCGCTTGACCGTCTGGACGTAGTGCAAGCCGCTCAAAATCTCGTGCTGCACCTTGAATTGGGCCTTCATGGTGAACTTGGCACCCTCCTTGATGGTGAAGGGCTTCTTCTTAAGGTCCTCCAACGACCCGGGTGTGGACAGGTCGATCACGACGGGCTCCCGGCCGGGAGACTCCATGGAGAGCGAGTGGATGATGCACACGCGCGGGTCGTTGGGGTCGGACAGGTCGTTGCCGCCGCCGAGGCCGAGGGACTCCTTGTAGCGCTTGAGGGACTCGTCGTTCTCGTCTAGGGGAGGGGGTTAGTCATGGTGGTTCTTCTTTTCATGAATGGTATCTCTTTTTCTTTGGCATCATGATATATATGTGTGTGTGTGTGTGTGTGGTTGAATGCGGTTGGGTGTTGTGTGGATGACGGTGCTGTGGTCTTCCGGTCTGCGACAGCTCTCGCGCCCCTCGTGTTCAAACCAGGGGCATGCCCTGTTGGAAGTTGTGAACGTCTGCGACGACCTTTGGCTTACTTGGCCGCCAAGTCAACAATTGCAGAGGTAGGTTTCTGCCACAGGGAAACCCACACAAGCTTTACTTTGCGCTTATAGTGGTCGTGATCTTCCCAAAGATTTGGCATGAAAGGTTGCGATGTTGTGAGGTGTTGCCATAGTCCTTTGCGCCGTGAAGCATGGGCGGTGAAAGGGGTCACCATCATGTCGTCACCGCACCCGCAGTTCCCCCTTTTTCCAAAAAGTCCCACGATCCGCACGATGCCGCAGAGAAGATGCGGGTGAAATAAGATGCATGCGATGCTGAAAAGAAAACAAACAGTAAAGACAAAGGTTGGAACATACCCATCTTGTGGTACTCAGCCAAGGACTGCTTGGGCTGAGAGAGCTTGTAGCCCGAGTTGTCCTCGGGCATCAGATCTTCGTCGTGTCCGCCGGCCATTGTGAATTATTGGGGTAGTGGTTGTTGATTAAAATAGATGAAAATCCGTCGGGATATGGAGGATATAAAGTTGCAATGAAGAGTCAAGAAAGACAGGACGGGAGAAGAGAAGAAGTCGACGACGACGGAAGCTATGATGGTATTTACGGCGCCGATCTGATGGAAGGTTTTGGAGGGGTGACGGGACAAAGCGAGGCCGGAGCTTATTTATTTGGGCGACGGGAGCACTGTGCACACCCAATCGACACCCACACAGTTCCAGATTGTCCACCCACGTTCACTGCGAGTCGCCAGGAACCACTCACAATGGAGAGCGGCTGAGCCCAGAGTCAACTGAAGAGAGACGGCGATGGAACTGACTGGCAGCAATTCTGAATGGAGGGGCTCGGCACTCTTTCAGCATGTCTTCTCTTTGGCCACAGCTCTTAAAGCTGGTGGGGCCAAGGGGGAGCTGCATCTGGCGGTTGGGGGTCTCGATGCGAGAGCAACACCAAGACGGGCCCATCATTGGATAACCATGGGCCATCTGGAACGCCGTCGACCTCGAATTTGTCCTCCCTGGTTCCCGCGTGCAGAACATATCAAGTCTGGAATCCCCCTCATCTATTGGGCTGCTGGCTGTTGATGTTTCCTTCTTCTGTGCCTCTTGACTGCCTTGCCCGTTGATGCTGTGAAATACACGGGCCTTGCGGTAGCTCCCCAACTTCTCTCCTCGAGCCTGGAGACTAAACGTACCTACCTACGTACAGTACATGGCAATAGGGAGCTGCCTGGTGGATTACCTCTAGTGTTCAAGCTACGGCGGTGATCTGATGGACTTGGACAAGTCGAGTGGTTGCACGAAACTGGCGATGTGAACAACAAGTGTCTCTGTTGTCACCGCCCCTGGAGAGAAAAGGAAAAAAGGGGTTCAGAGCTTGGAGAGAGTGTAGCGATGGTGGTGAGCGATGGTGCCAAGACCTGAGAGGGCCGATTCCGATCATTGGGGGCCTTTTTTTGGGTCGTTCACCGCTCCTTCTTTCCCCGCCAGGGACCCGTCCGCTCGAGATACTGGGGGGCTCTCTTCACCGTTGAGTCCCGGCATGTCAGATCACGGAACGGCCAGCCTTCCGGTTATTTTGATTTATACGTAGGCACCTTCGGCTAGCTAGGAAGAGCGCGATATCACCGCCCTTCAGCCTTCTTGTCGTTCGTTTCCTTCTCCTCAGCGGCTGAGACCCGTTCTCTGCCGGTTGTCTTACAACTGTTAGCACGGAATGGAGCTTGATCCAACATGAGACAAGCCGTTGAAGCATCCCGGTGTGAAACGCTTGAGGACGCCTCTGCTCTGCTTGGTGATCGCTGGTGAGCATGATGGTTCTGGTGGTGTAGAGGTCTTGGCTACCCCAGATTGACGGGTTGACGGGTTCCTGGGACGGGATGACGGGTTGACAGTTCTGTGTGCGTACCTATGCATCACCAAATCCCCTCCCCACTCGCTCACGTCGAGGCCAGCGTCAGTCCAGCAGACCCGTATGGTATCTTATCAGGAGGCCTTGTGTCGACTTCGTTGACATCCATTCGTCGCCGCATGTTGATTGTGTCCCTTGGCTGCTCCAAACACCACAAGACATCATCTGCAGCAGAGACGTGAAGAGAGTCTCACTGCGTGTGGAACATTGCTCACATTGCATCCGTGGAGGACCCTGTCTCTCCGCTTTCTGTTCTGCTGCACCGCCCGCCGCTACTCCTGCAAAAGGATGCGTCGTCGAGCTGCGGACAGCCGTCTCTGTTTCTGGTGGTATTTTATTGGTGGGGATGTTGGGAATCCAATCGGCTTGTTGAGCACACTGATCGAAGTGATGTGCTGCCACTCACAGTTGAGGTGCTGGACGGGCGCTTGGGCCACCCCACGCCAAACACCCTCCCAGAGTTCAGTTGTGACTGCCGTCACTCCAACGGGAGTCGTCTGCAGTGAGGTGGTGCAGTGGCCGCCTTCTCCGCCCAAGGGAAGCTAGCCCTGAAATAGTGCCCACAATCAAATCGAATCCCACCCAAGCTGCGTGGCCCGTGTCCCATGATCCCGCGACACGCTAAACCCTCCTCAGCGGACGACGTCGCGCTATCCTCTGCACTCTGCTCTGCACTGCTGCACCGAAGCTCTGACCCCGGTCTCCCCGTTGCCCCCATCAACCCGTCATTTGTCTCATCCTGCCTCTCCCCGTTAAGCTTCCAGTGATTCCCCAGAGTCCAATCTGCCAGATTGCGCGCGACCGACCGCACTTTTCGCACCCCCGAGCGGTCTTGATCGTCATCATCCTTCATCACACACACACACACACACACACCTTCAATCCCATCCTCCGCCGTGCTCTCCACGGGATTCCAGCGCACGGGAGCATCCATTGAATCAGCATCAATTCTAGCCAGAATCCTCTTTGGCTCAAATCGCTTTGCTAGTAGCAATTTTAATTTTGTGTTTTGGCTCGTTTTGGTTGCGTTGTCCCACCGACCATTCCGACCAAAAGGACACACTGCGAGCTGCGCGCAAAAGTCTTCGCCGTTCACGACACCAACAGGAGACCACCCATTGTGGCCATCGCCGCCTTCCCCCAATTCATCCCACAACATTTGTATAGCGGCCCAGCCATTCCCCCGCGACATCATGGCGCAAGTAGCTAGGCATCTTCCGGCCCGTCGCAATCCTCTGATGCTCGAGGATGTGCCGTCCCGTAAGCCACCGTTCACAAGTGCGTGAACGAGAACCACAAGCTGACTTGCGCAACTACAGACACAGATCTTGCAAGCCGTCGCCGCTTGGGGCAGACTCAACTGACCCCTCGCATGGTCACTGCTGTTCCGGGCGCTGAGGTTGATCCGTCGTCTCTCCTGGCGTTCGACTACGCCCACCTCAGAGCCCCTTTGCCCAAGGGTATCGTCTCGGGCATCTTCAAGTCCTCTCCTCCCAGCTACTTCCTCATGCGCCGCAGCCAGGATGGTTACATCTCGGCTACCGGCATGTTCAAGGCCACGTTCCCATATGCGTCGCAAGAAGAGGAGGAAGCGGAGCGCAAATACATCAAGTCCATTCCCACCACGAGCTCCGAGGAAACCGCCGGCAATGTCTGGATTCCCCCTGAGCAGGCTTTGATCCTCGCCGAGGAGTATCAGATCACTCCCTGGATCCGAGCCCTTCTCGATCCCTCAGATATCGCCGTCACAGCCACCGACAGCAGTGCGCCCAAGCAGATTGCTCCCCCTCCCAAGTTTTTCGGAGCCCAGCCTCCTCTTGTTGCTCCCACACCGCCTACGACTCGCAGCACGCGCAGCCGTCCTAGCAGTCGCCGTTCCTCCAGCCCCGCCAAGTCTACAACCACCAGCAAACGCGGCACCACCCCCCGCAATACCAAGCGCACGGTTACCACGGAAGCTTCTGCCACTACAGTTACTACTACCGCCACCGCTACCGCTGTCCCTTCCGCTGAAACCCCCGCCACCAGCTTCGCCGACTCCCAGGCCCCCACGCTCATCAATGGCGAGATTCCTACCTCTACCCCGATCAACACAGTTCCAGTTACCAAGATCCAAACTACCGAAGCAGAGCTCAAGGTGGAATCGATCGAGAAGGAGCCTGTCGTCGTGCTGGAACCTATTGAGGAGGAGCCCAAGATCAAGGTGCGAGTCGATGAAGACGTCAAGCTGGATAAGGATGGCGAGGAGGTGAAGCATACCAAGGTTGAGCTTGAGGTGCCTCTAATGGCGGGTGAGCCTCCGTCCAAGGAAGAGGCAAGAAAGATGATCGAGGAGGCCAAGGCGATGGTCGAGGCTGCCGTCAAGGCTGATGCTGAGGCCGCAGCTGCCCTTGTTGAGGCCTCCAAGGCTGGTGCTGAGGATGAAAAGGCTGAAGGCGAGGCCAAGGCCGAGACCGAGGCTACCAAGGAAGAGGAGGCCGATAGCAAGGGCAAGCGCAAGGCGGAGAAGATTAGCGTCGATGGGGATGAAAAGGCTGCAGATGAGGCTGAACAACCTCGGCAAGCCAAGAGGGTGAAGACCGAGGCAGAGTTGCGCAAGGATAGAATCCGGAAGCGCGCCTACCTCGGCCTCACTGCCACGTTTGCCGTAGGAGCTCTTGGGTACGTGCTGCTTTTTTCCGAGTGATGTATTGAGCGTGTGCTAACCCGTTCTGCGCAGTGCCCTTCTTCCCATAATCACACCGTATGTGGCCAACGTACTATAAACCCATGTGGGGACGTAGACACCAAATTTCTTTGTTCTGTTTAAGCCGAGTCGGCACATGACGCGATATTGAAGGAGACATGGGGCGCAGGCCGAGTTCGTTCAAGGAGTCTTCTGTGTACTAGGGATAATGGTCGTTTTGCTCTTGTAACTGGTTAACCTTGGGTCAACTCGAACTTTGTGGTTAGCTTCGGTGTGCAGCATGGTTGGACACCAGGACTTGGACGGAAATAGGATTTTCTTGAATTCAAGGTTGGTTTCATTTTCGGTTTGTTTTACGTTGCACATACCCCCCCACTTCGGCGTCTGTCGCCTGTCAATCAATGATTGAGAGTCCATGGCATGAAGGGCCGTGGCTTTGAATGGAGGTGGACCGGTCGTTTGGATGGAATCTGGTTCTCATGTAGGAACAACATAGGTATATACAATCTCTGAACACAAGGGCAGGCGGCATGCTACTCAAACTCGCTGGGATGGGAAATGAAAGTGTAAACAGCGGAGGAAGACTCCCAAGTTCGTGCCGGGCTGGGAAGCTCCTTTTGTAGATAGTAGAGCCTATTCTAGTGGACTGTGTCATGTAGTGAACAAAGCAGATCTTTCGGCAAGGGATTTTCCAGTGTCTGTCTTCGGGTGTCGGATATTCTTTGTCATGCAAGTTTGTGAGGCTGGAGTCTCGATGAGTGCAACGCCATAGTCACATTGGCAGTTCCTCATCGTTCGGCATCATCCGTTGACAACAACCACTTCCAAATGTCATAAACTCGACTTGAACGGGCCAGATGGTGGAGAGGTACCATATCGTTGAGTGTTTGCACGTTTTCGGCTTATCGCCTGCTTCAGGTGGGGGGATATGGCTGATATGAAGCTATGGGGGCTATTATCGTCGTAAACGAGCAGACTCCAATTTTGGAAGCGCACGAGTCATTTTGTTCCGCTCAACGTATCGCATATCTTTTCTTTTTTTTTTCCTCTCGCTCTCTCTCTCTCATTTTTTTTTTCTTTTCCCTTTCCCTTTCCCTTTCCCACCACACTTCAACACCACAATGATGTTTTGCGGGCTTCATTCCGGCAGTCCTTGATTGGGAACTTGCCAAAAGGGAACGCGACCTTGACGCTCATGCAGCGTCGGCCGTTACCCCTCGACCCCTCTTCTTCCATCGTTTGTTCCGAGGAGTTAGCTTCCATTGGGTTTCGCCTGGCGATCCCATGACCTGCTGCTCCAGGTCTTGGCCAAAGGCGGCAATGGTCGGCTTTACCTCCGGGTAATCACAACCACCTTCCTGTCGTCCGCCAGCATCACCTGCGCGCCTGGCTGGTCACGGTGAACATGCCTACCTACGCCGCCGAACAAGACTACGATCGTATGGTCAATCCTTCAACGATCGTGTTTCTGCGCACAACCGTTCTTCATCGAAGCGCAATACGCACTCTTTTTTACAAATTACCATGAAGGCAAACACGCGGTTGTGCAAGCAGCTGCTTGCTCAACGCCGAACTTTCTCGTCCACCGTGCGCCGGTTGGATAACTACGCCTTCATTGGCCTAGGCCAGATGGTACGTCTCCTACACCCGTGCTTCCACTCGGAATTGGTTGCTAACACTCGGATTATAGGGCTATCAGATGGCTAGAAACCTACAATCCAAGCTTCCACCAAGCGATACTATTCGCCTGTACGACATCAACCGGGGTGCGGCTGAAAAGCTCGCCCAGGAGATGTCAGTACAGCAAGCCGGAGGAGCTTCCACTCACGTGGCGGACAGTGCAGCCGATGCGTCGAGAGAAGCGGTACGTCACACTCTTGTCCTTAGCCTTCATTCCCTCTTCCCAAAAGCTTTTATGATGAGTTTGTTCCAATTCATGAGTTTTTCTAAGTTGGGCCCGGCGTTTTGCTGGGCTTTGAAGTGATTATCGTTATACAACATAAGCCAATCCTCTGAAAAAAGCCATCACCCAATTCTTTGTCATCATTCAATGTCAATGGCGACCCAAGACTAACTGGGATCTTGACATAGGACACGGTTGTAACATGCTTGCCCGAACCTCAGCATGTCAAGGCAACATACGAGTCGATCCTTAAGGATGAGCTACCTCCCCGTCCTGGTCCTCGTCTGTTCATTGACTGCTCGACCATCGACCCCACGTCCTCGCGTGAGGTTGCGGCCGCGGTAGACAAGGCTCTCCCTAACGGACAGGGTCACTTTGTCGATGCCCCCATGTCAGGCGGTGTCGTCGGAGCTACCGCTGGTACATTGACGTTTATGCTTGGTGCCCCTGACTCCCTTGTCGCGAGGTCTGAAATCGTCCTGCAGCGCATGGGCAAGCGGGTGTTGCACTGCGGTCCTCAGGGAGCGGGTCTGGCGGCGAAGCTTGCCAACAATTACCTGCTAGCAATTGAGAATATTGCTACTGCGGAGGCTATGAACCTCGGTGCCCGATGGGGCCTTGATCCGAAGGTGCTCGCCAGCGTAATAAATGTCAGTACTGGAAAGTGCTGGCCTAGTGAAGTCAACAACCCTGTGCCAGGCGTCGTAAAGACTGCCCCGGCGAATCGCGACTACCAAGGCGGTTTTGGAATAGGACTGATGCGCAAGGACCTGAGGCTGGCCATCCTGGCAGCCAAGGAAGCCGATGCTAAGCTTGTGCTAGCAGACAAGGCCTCGGAAGTGTACGAGACTGCCGAGTCTGAAGAGCGATGCAAGGGCAGAGACTTTTCGGTTGTCTACCGGTGGTTGGGCGGAAAGGAGTAGATACTAGAGAATACTAATACCGTCTGACTCTACTTTACTTGGTCTTCGATCAACCTCCGTGATTTGCTGCTTTTGTTTTTTCCCCCCAAAGCCTACCAGTTATCCTATGCAAACTGATCTGCCCTCGCGGACTAGTCATCATTAGCCGTGATCTATCCTTGCTTGTGGTTTGTTCGTGTTTATAAGTCAAGATTGTCTGTGAAGGTGGTGACGGCCAAAACTTCTTAAGAGCAGATGTCACGGAGGTACATTCATTGACCTTGAACCAGAAATAGTTACTACCACACTATTTTCCAAGACCTTCATTATTCATCCAGTAATTCCAACGCTCTAGACTAGAGCTTAGAGCCAAGCTTCAACTCACTCTTAATCTCATCCACCAGCTCCTGCACCCTAAACGCACACCCCCAGCTGCCCTGATATCCCCATCCGCCATGTCCATAGTTATGCACCACCCACGTCCCATTGATGTTCTCCTTCTCGATCCTCACGCCGCCCTCTCTATACGGCCTCAGCCCCACCGCATGCCTAATGACATCCAGCGCCTCGATGCCTTTTCCACCCGTCAACGCCGGACACGCCTCCACGGCGCGCTTCATGATCCTCGTCGCAATGTTCGGATCCGGCACGCCGTCCCAGTTACCCTTCATGTACGTACCTCCAAGAATCGTGCCCCCACCTGCAGCTCGCTGCATGATGTAGCACAACTCGTCGTCGTTCCCGTCGTCCGTGCCGCTCGTGCACACCATGTTCGGCGTCGCCTCGTTGCGGACTAGCACCACCTGTCCGCGCGCGGGCATCACTTTTTGGTCCATGACGCCGCCCAGCCGACAACTCAGCAAGCCCGTGGCGTTGATGATGATATCCGGCTTGCGCCCCGTGTGGCTCAACTTGGCGGCGTCGGAGATATGCTTGAGTACGGCCCGCTTAAACACCACGCCGCGTGCCCGGCACTGGCCCAGCAGCCAGGGCAGGTAGATGGCCGTGTTGATGCAGACCGAAGTAAACGAGGAGGCGGAGGACATGCCCTCTGGCACCTCGGAGGCTGGTAAGTCGACGTAGTCGGGCACCAGGTCTTTGTACCACGGGTTGCGCACGAAGAGGCCGTCGGACAAGGGGCCCGCGAAGCCGGCGGCTTCGTCTTGGGCGCGTCGGTAGAGGACGGCCTTTTGGAAGTGGATGCCGGCTTCGGGACAGGTCTCGGCGAGTTTTTTCAGTTCGGGCCAGGTTTCGCCTTCCCAGCGGTTGTATTCGGGGGCCATGGGCAGGACGTTGGCGCCCGCGAAGGGAGAGGTGTACTCCGGGTCATAGTCGCCGGGCATGTGCTTGGCTACTACGGTGATGGTGTTTCCTCCTTGCTTGGCTAGTTGGAGGGCGCAAGTGAGGCCGCTCACGCCGGCGCTGCGATGGACGTCATTGGGTTAGTGAGGGTGATCACGACGACAAGTGGTAGTGAAACTATTGTGTGTGTGATGTCTCGGGTACTTGAAGCTTTTCAAGCCGATACCGGGGATTGTGTCAGACATACCCTACAACAACAATCGTGGACATTGTGGATAATGTAACCAGAGGCGAAGACAAATCCTGAGGTCAACGGGGAGCATGAAATGTTTACAGAGTCGAACGAAAAGGAAATCCTCGGGTCTAATCAGCCTTTATATGTACCGACTCTTTATGTTCCTTTGGGGGATGAATCATAACATGATCAATCCTCACCTAAACCAGCAATGGGATCCCGATCTTGGTCTCTTATCTTTTCAAGGTGGGATTTACCACAGCGACCGGACGACCAGGGTACCAGAAGTTCCATAGGCCCGGTTCCAACCTTAGGTACCTCTAGCTTCATCGTCATGATAGAAAAGTTGAGACCTGTTCGCCGACATGACACTCGGCTCAAGATCTCAACCTTTTTGTTAACGGCGCGGTTCAGTAGGTATGTCCCCGCATACTGTAGCATTCACTGTACCGTTAGGGGTCTAGCCCCCCGTGGGCCGTTGTCTAAAAGGCGCGCCCTTAGTCTAGCAGATAGAGGTAGTTCTCCCACGCCGCTACGGGCAACTCTAACCGCAGCGCTCGGGTTCCATACCTATCGCTTACGGAACGCTCCCTCCCGTTTAGGTACGGCTCGTCTCAACGCCAATGTACCCGCACTCCGAGCGTGAACCCCGCTAAACTTCAACCTCACTCCTTTACGTTCTTGGCCAGCTTGGTGATACATCATCTCTCGAAGTCTTAACCCTGCTCAACTTCGAATACTATGAGGGACACAGACGGACGACGAGACACCGTAAGATACCCATGTCATCACCTGCATGGGCGACATCGGTGCCTCGACGGTGTGACTCTCACGGCGTAGGGCTGAACACGTTGGCATGTGGGACTGTTTCCCCAGATGGTACTTATTTATCCATCGCTTATTCGGTTGCCCAGCTTCGATACAAGCTCTCGTCCCGACGAACACACATGTCGAAATGATAGCCATCTTCCATTTGACAACCAAAAGCTTGAACTTGCGGCGTTCACCATCTCTGGGATTGGCTCATGAGCGAGATCGTCGGACATTCTCCTGACCAGCCACCCTCCAACAAGAAGACTGGCTCTACACCATCCTCCTCTTCCTCTCTGTGTCACACAGCCACAGTGACAACGATGATCGATATGCCCACCCAACGGCTCGAAGTCCAACTATAGAGACCCGGCCGAAACGGGGCGGCGCAACTATCTCTCAAAGGGGGCCAATGGTCTCATCCTAATATCTGACATACTACCTATGTAGATATTCTATCAATGAGTGGCAGGCCACAGCGGACAAGCCGCGTAACGCCCCGCCGTTCAGCTGGGAACAGTTGTGTGCCCCAGCACAACCACGCTCCCGAAGGCTGACGTGACCAAGCACTGGGTCTCTCTCGTCTCACTCAGTTCCATTGCGCTTCGTTGACATGGAAAAAGCCAGTGCTTACATACATTCCGATGTTTTCATCGCTTCAATGATCGACGGGTCATCATACTATACACGGGTGATCACGGTCGACTCTTCGAGTGTCTATCCTGTCCTTGCCCAACGTTTAATGTGGATTAACACCATGCAGACTAGACTACGATGAGATTTTCACCAGTGGCCCTCGTCTTCAACCGATCAATCCTCTGAAATGCCGAACACACCCGGCCAGGAAGAGGTCCATTCCTTCAGGGATTGGGCTTCTAATCCTCACACACCCACACGAGGCAGTCCCGTTCCCAACGAAACCGGGAATCACTTCTCCCAACACCACGAGCACCGACCAGATAGCGGGCCGACTGCTTACGGGAATACCCAATATCACGCCGGATACGGTGATGGACTCGCTACACCATACAGCATCTACGACGTTTCTCCGCACCCGGATGCCTCAGTTGTCCCTCCTGATTTGATCTATCAGCGGCATGATGATGAGACCAAACTCCTACAGGAAAATCAATGGCAACAGCAGGCCAAAGGCACATCCAAGCCAGTTAATTTATCAACTGTTCTTTTGACTTCACAGAGCCTGGGTTCCCCTCCTGTCATCAGGAGTTCAACAGCGCGACAGTCCCGACAAAGGCCCTCCAGTTGCGCCTGCTGGCTATGGCGATGGAGGAAATCATGGAACATGTACCTATGCCTACTCTTCGGCGTTGCATGTGCTTCTTCCCATCACTTTTATTACTGGTCTCTCGACGGGCGGCCAGCCACGGACCAAAACAAGATGATGCGCTATGGAACGATGTTAGCCTTCGGAGCAAAAGCAGGCCTAAGCGCCGCGGTCATCGTGGCTTTCAGACAGCGGGTATGGACAACGGTTCGAAAACGGTTTATGACTGTGGGCGCCTTGGATGCCTTGTTCTCGGCTACGGAGGACTTACAGGCTGTGACGAGTTGGGAGATGGTCCAAAGCGCAAAAGTGGCGGCGTTGCTAGCGGCATATGCTTGGTAAGCTTACCCCCTTTTCCTTTACCTTTGTGACAGCGTCCGAATATATTCTTACACGTGTGCAAGGCTGGCACCACTCGTGGTAGTCCTTACTTCCAACACGCTTCTTGTCGTTCCCAGGAAGATGACAATCTCAACCTCGTGTCCAGAGGTGCGGACGCTGAACCTTACATTCGAAGAGACCTACGAGTGGCGGCAACCTCCAAAGATTGACCGGCTATTTGAGATTCCCCTGTCTCTATGGAATACCACCAAGGAACCAGAGAAAGACACTCCCGGATGGTTCGACTACTACACCGCACCCAGCCCTAGTTTCCAGAATACAGCCACTATTGGCTCCTTTCTCGAAGAGGCTGTCATGAGAAGGAACGCACCTATTGAAACTTGCGGGACTGGTTGGAACTGCTCTTTCGAGATCCAATTCATTGCCCCAGCCTACAAGTGTACCGAACTGGGCAATGGGGTTGATTCCATTGTCAACAACCTAACTCAAGAGTCCGGAAGTATTGCGCCGCCCTTCAACATGGACGTCCTCCTCCCCAGGGGCAAATTCACCTACTACGCCTTCACCAGCGGCGGCGAATACTCCACCACGCAAATGAAAGAAGCCGGCATTGGCGGCCGACCAACAATGAATCCCCCCTTTCCCAAGCACCTCGGCGCCTTCCGCACCGAGCCCATCATCTGGCTCGGCTACGTCACCCTCGCCGACGCGCTGGCCAAGGCCAACGACACCAGGGGCAACCTTCCGTCGGTGCCTTCCAACCCCTCCGACCCAGCCTGGAACACGTCCTTCGTCCCGCACATCTTCGCCTGCGAGAACTACGAATCCAACTACACGGTGCGTATCAACTACACCGGTGCCGCCCAAACCACCACCGTGACCAACGTGACCTACCTCCGCCCCGTCATCAACACAACTTACACCCCGCACATCGACGCCAACGACGGCACCGCCGACAACGTCACCGCTACGCCCACCGACAACTACATCCTCCCCACTTCGATCCCGCAATACCGGCGCACAGCCGCCTACCACTCGTTGGGGTTCATGCTCCGCGACCAGATCAACGGCACGGTGGGCATCGGCGACGACCGCGACCTCGTCAACCCCATCGCCAACACCAAGGCCATCCAGACAATGCGCCTCCTCGATTTCGGAAACAACTACTTCCCGTACCCGGACATCCAACAGCGGATCCAAAAGTTTTACGAGGATATTATCCTTTCGGTATTGGGACATCCCCAGTTTGCCAGCGTGGTCTGGGCGGCGAAGCCCGGGGAACAGTCTGGCGTGACGTTTAATGCGCCGGACGCCAACCAGCCGTCGCTGTTGACAGACCAGCAGAGAGCTTATTTGTACCCTTGCACCAAGTTTCGCATGGCGCTCGTGTACAAGTTTAATGCAAGGTTGTTGTGGATCGTGTATAGCATCTCGATTGCCCTGGCGGTGATGGGCGTGGTGGTGGGGGCGCTGGCGCTGAGGGAAAATGGAGGGGTGGTGAGAGATACCAAGTTTTCGAGCATCGTGGCGGCGACGAGGGGGAGCGGGTTGGGGAGGGTGAGATGGACTGATAGTATCAATGGCGGTGCTTCGGGTGGGGGTGATACGGTGCCAGAGGAGGTTAGAGGGTGGAGGATGGGGTATGGGGTTGTTGATGCTGGAGCTGGTGATGGTCGGCTGGAGGTGGGAGACGGAGCGGGAGGGGGACGGACGGTGTATGGGTTTGGGTTTGAAGGGGATGTGAGGCAGTTGAGGAGGACGCCGAGTTTAGTACAGTTGACGACGTTGGGGAAGTAGGCTTGATAGGTACGCAAGTGTTTCCAGTACCGTTTCTAGTCTTTCGTTTTTCTCGTATCGGGCCATGAATCGGGGTTGGGTACCGGCAGCAGTCTCCATCGTGGTCGTGCTGCAATGGTAAGTTGCAGTCATGTATGTAACCATGACACTCTAACCACAGCATACCTAGCCAGACAGCCTCCCTTCCCAGCCCTGCTCACTCACATGCGCGCATGTAGGTAGGCGCTCACACAAAGTGCTGTTCCGAATTGCTTAAACTTTGCATTCCCTATCTATTTCTAGGTATCATCCTGTTGTATCTATCCCATATCTCCGCTCTTTATTCAAAGTTGCTTGGTGATGGTGGCCAGGAGAGCAGGGGGGTTGGCACCGACGAACTCGTCAGCCTTGTCGCCGTTCTTGAAGATGACGAAAGTGGGCATGGCGCGGATGCCGAGCTCCTGAGCGAGGTCGGGAAGGGCGTCGACGTCGAACTTGGCGAAATAGACGGTGTCCTTGAACTGAGGCTCCTCGGACCACCTTTTCAAGCAAAAGAGAATTAGTCAGTAAGTGCGTTGTGTTGTTTTCAGGCTAGGCGGGAATGTTTCGCTCGCGCTTGCGCGTCGTAGATCACGGTAGGGTAGAAAGGGAGTATATATGTGTGTGTATGCTGAAAGAGCACAAGGCTGGGGCTGGGGCTGGAACTATTGAAATCGGGAACGGGAACGTACTTGGCGACAGTGGGAGCGATGGCCTTGCAAGGACCGCACCAGGTAGCGAAAGCGTCAAGGACAACAATGGGGTTCTTGGCAATGGCCTCCTTGAACTCGGCGACGCTGTTGTATCGACATATTGTCAGTTCATTGGGTCATATTGGTCGACGGGAACCCATCAAGGCTGGCTAAGCTGGCTGGCGATTTTATGTATCACACAGCCTCGGGAAGGTAAAGCGACAGATAGAACTCACGTAGCAATGTTGTGGACAGTCATCTTGGGCGACGAAGTGGTGAAAAAGCGGGAAGCAATTGAAGGGGTATTGGCGATGATGGGGCGAGGAGTAGCTCTGGTAAAAGTGCTGGCGGCAGGTCTAATGAATCTGGAGGAGAACATGGTGTAGGAGAGTTGAGGGGAAGAGGGGTTTTTTACGGTAAATTCCAACAGATGGAAGGCTGAGCCTCTTTTTTTACGAGACCACCCAAAGCACTGTGACTGCACCGAGAGCCGATGGCTGCCAAAAGAAACGGTACGGTACAATCACGCAACGGCGGCACATGGGAACTGAACTGAAGCTTCCCTTGGCTGCCGCTGCTGCCCTTGTCCCGTCCGTCCACTGCGCAAAAGCTTACGGGAGCAAATCAGCAGTGGTGGAGCCTTCTCGATGTTCCCCGTCGTCCCGTTTTTGATGATGTAAGAAAAGTCTCCATTTGTCAGGTCCCGCCGATGACGCGAACGGCGACTAGGGGTCCTATTGACCCCGCCATCCACCACCATTCAGCTGAATGGATATGGTGACCTCTCGCAAGATCCTTTTCCCTTTTGTTCAGAGACTCTGGAGACTTGCGTCTGATCGTATGACAATCCCCAATGTCAATCCCATATCCTCCTGGTACTCTTCTTACAAATCGTTGTCGCCAACAACAATCAGGTTGATGCGCTTCCAACGTGTCTCAGCCCTTCCATTAATCGACAAGGCTACAACAACAGTGTCTTGGACTTGTGCATCTTGTCAGCCCAACACCAGCGCACGTCATTACACGCCATAAGCACTGTCCGCTGTTCGTTCTAGCTGCTTACTTGCATTCTGTGGCGCAGTCACCAGAACACCATCCACTCCGCTTCAGGGCTGAGGTTCTGGTGTCTTGGATACTTGCGCTTCAATCACACACGTGTATTCAAAGAGCCTTCTCATTGCTCATTTCGTTGTTAGTTGGTGATCTTTAACAAATACGTATTATAGATCGGCCGCGCGGAAATCGTGTTAATTTATACCAACTCGTGGCAGCAACAAGTCAATTGAGACAACATTGAACTTCAACAACACCATGGCCAGTGTGGCTGTACCTTGAGTTGCTGGGTGTGGATCCCTTCAGGGGTAAACAAAACATCGCGACCCATCGCCAGGGCAACCACTTCCTCTGATCCATTTTTATCCAGCCTTGCGCACCATCAACTGAACTTCCCTCAGGATATATTTTTCCGTCCTCTCCGATGATCTTTACGATAGCCATTTCTATGTGGGAACGGCAACCAGTGTCACTTTGATGCAGAATCGGTTCGGATCGGACTCTGTCGTTCATCATGGGTTAATCGATCAGCCATGTCACAGAATATCCGAGACAGAACGGCAATTGGACAGGCCGGAACTTACTTGTGTTTCCCGGAGGATAGTACCGGAACTCATGACTGTTATCGAACGATGGCCGCACACAAATCCAGCCTCCGGCCGGCGCATTCTGCTTTCCCACAAATCGCAACTCAACCTGCAAGCTGTCGGTGTCCGGATTGCAAGCGTACGTCGGCTGGAAGAGAGCTCTCGGATCGCCGCGTTCCGTCATGAACATCTTGACAGTGTCGTCGACATTGGATTCCTGTGTCCGGAGACGTCAACTCGAACTCTTACTTGGACGGACGACTTCTGCATAGGAATTGCGGCAAACTCACCTCGCCGCCAATGACAGCATTGATGGAGACCCAGTTGATCGAACCCTTGATGAGAAGCAGGTTGGTAGTAGTGTCGCCCACTTGGGGTGATCCTCCGACGTACAAGTGCCGGTCACCACCTCCGGAGACCATCAGGTTCATGTACTTGTTGTGGATTTGAGGATAGGAGGCATTTTGGACTTGGACACGGAAGTGGCTGGTGATATTGTTGGACAGTGGTGTGCTTGGGATTGTGCAAGCTGTTGCGACCGCAATGAGGGCCGTAAGGCTGAGCAAAAGCCTCATTTTGAAGCTGGGTAACTGAAGACAGGAACGAAACGAGCAAGGAAGGTACTCAGGCCCAACATCACAGTACCTAGGCGGTCGGATGGCCGGGTGTCGTTTTATAGAGGTTTTCTACAACGGGTGAGCATGTTTGCCAATCTACCCCCTTACTCTGTGTGTTTCCCATGGGGAACACAAAAGCGATATGCCAATCGTCAGCAGCATGACTTTAGTGATCCCGCCCCGGCGATGCAGACAAAACAACCCAAGATAATTCCGGGGTACCTTTGTTTTGCCTCGGATAAGAAAACAAGATTTTCTTTCCTGGCTATCTTGTTCTGTTTGGCTTGTCAACATCGCTCGTCCTGTTCGACTCCAGAGCGATAATTCAAGAGCCAGAAGCGCACCAGTCGCTTTTTCAGGTCTCGTATACATGCATGGAAATTATGCTTGGTCTATGTAAGCGATAGCCTTGTCAAGTCTCGATTGGACACTGGGCGAGAAGTGCGGTAGTAGTATTGGGAAACTAGTAGTTCGGTCTGCGTCTGTTACACCCTCTTGGAGGATTTCCGAAGTTGCAGATCTAGCTGATGGAGGAATATGGACGAGAAGATGGCACAACATGATGCTATCAAATGTTGGCAGATGACTAGCTCTGCAGAAATTGAGGTGTTGACCGGTAAAACGGAAGTGAAGGTCAGCTTTCGGGAGTCGGGTGATCACAGCACTAGTGTTTTTATATCACGCCTAGCCTAGCCACTGGGATGTTTTCTATCATGTGTCACCAGCTAGACATGCGGAGTAACGAGCATTGGTTCGTAAAGCTCCTTCCGCCATATCCAAGAGAACTAACGTGTCCGATCAATTGCAAATTTCTCGCTCTAATAAGGTCACCTGCCCCTATGCGGACGATATCTACCTAAGCCTTCTCCAGTCCGACCAATCTACTCCAATTCATGGATTTGGAGAGCCAAAAGCCGAGGACCCATCAATCGCCGCCCTCTCTTATCTGTCCATGAGAAACAACAGGCAACGACGTCCGTGATACAACATATGTTGCCTTATGCAAGATTTCCTCAGCCTCAGTCAAGGTTCCGAGACCGACAGAGAGCCTTGCGGACTGCCTAGCAACACAACGCCTTCTAATTATGGAGTGGGAGGACAGTTATGACCCATACATCTATTGTCTATAACATTCAGAAGAACAACCGCTTCCTTCTTTTGTCTTCTTCTAAGAGTTCTATCAGGAGGAAAAGTGGCATAAGTAGCCTGCTACTAACCAACCAACCAATCACTCCTGTGCGCCGTCTAGAATAGTGTCCAGAAAAAAAAAAAAAACCCTGAGCGGAAAGAAATAGAAACCAGACTGAACAGACCGACAGACGCTCGGTGGAGGGGTGGCTAGCTCATTTCCTGCCAACAGCAGCCTCCTTGACGGTCACCTTGCCCGCAACAATGTCCTTGACCACAGCGAGGATCTCGGTAAAGTCGTGGAACGTGGTGAAGGGCACGTTCTCCTTTTCGCAGTAGGTGATTAGATCTGTGTGTGTGGTGTGTCAAAGTCAGCAAATACTATGGCAATGGCAATGGCAGTGGGAATGGTAATTCATTCGAATTGCAAAACATACCCTTTCCAGCCTTTGCAAAGAGAAGGTCCGTCTCCTTGGCAGCTGAGAGATCCGAGACGCCATCGCCGGCGTAGAAGAGGACTGGCCTTTGGTCGGCAGGCAGGTTGGCGTAGGGGCGGATTTCGAGGGACTTGTCGTGGCCGAATCCACTTTGGTTTCCATGATGTGAGCGTTTGTCCTGTATCGCCAAAAACAGAAAAAAAGAAAGGGGTGACAAACCTGTCATCGTGGTAAGTGATCATCCACCCTCCCTCCTCATTCAAACTCTGCTTTCCCGGCCTAACAGCCACCTGGTTGCTAACAATCTGCAAGCTATCCGCCTCCTCCTTACCCAAGAAATGGGCCAACAACGCCCTGATGACAGGCTCCATGCCGCCACTAAGAATCACAATCGGCATGTTGATCTCCTTGGCCCAGTGGAAGAACTCCTTGAATCCAGGGTCGAGGGTGATGTTTTTGAGCAGAGTCTCGATGCACTGGTCAAAGGGCGTGCTGATGCTGTCCAGCATCTCCGAGAAGCTGTCGCGGAAGTCGCGGTGGCCGAAGAGGACGCTCTCGTTTCCCTTCTTGCGGAGTGCCGGGCCGAACCCTAGAGTGTCGGTCATGAAGTCATTGCTGTCTTGTTGGGTGATGGTGCCGTCGAAGTCGGTGAAGAAGATGAACTTGGGGTTGGTGGCCAAGGCGGGGAGGGAGGGGGAGTCGTTGGATCCCATCTTGACTGTGTTTAGTGTTTTGGGGTTGTGTTGAAGGTGATTTAGGTGAGAAGTGTACAATGAAAGGTACTAAAGAAAGAGGTGAAGTGAAAAAGTCAAGTGAAGACCGGAGGAAGTCCGAGGTCGACGGGCAACAAAGGAATGAGTCGGCGCGGGGGGGTCCCAACAGAAACGCCCCTCCCCCGGTACCGGGCCCGCGGCGGCCCAACGGCACAGCAAGCGGCGCGGCAGTGGACTGAATCCCACAGGGTTGGACCCCCATCGGCACGGTGCCTGAGACCCCGAAAGAGTTCAAACTTTGGCTTGTCTCGGCCACCGCATCGCCGATGTTAGTGGACCAATTCTGGCGGGTGCTACCCACTGTTGAGTGCTAAGGCGCCGATCCGCGGCTTAGTGAACCGCCGGAGGCGATGGGCATTCTTGGCCGTCATAGAGAAATTCTACAACTGTTGACGTTGTGCTAGGGGAAAGTTAAGTGAATATATATAGAGTATTGAAGAGGGCTATTTACAAGAGAGGTGTCTCTCATAGCCGTTGGCATCTTGAGACTTTACAGATGTCTCGTCAACGTGTAAATGCTGTGGGAGGATATGGAGATCTAAGGTACCTAGACATGATAATTTTCCAATGGACAAAATATGCATCTACCGAGATTACCCCACTTTTCTCCAAATTCCAAAAGTCCCAAAAGTTCCATCCATGATTTCATCAACCGTTGTTTCCTTTAGATTTCTGTGCTCCCCTTTCCTACGCCTGCAATCATTTTTTCTTTAGAGTATTGCGCAATACCAAAAACAACAAACAATCCAAACTATCCGCAACCATGGGCAAGCCAAAACGCCACGTTCACGCCGCCGACCAGGAGTCGCTGACCCCTCCCGACCAACTTACTGATTCGCAATCCATTGCGCGCGTTGTCAAGGCCGAGGGCAACAGCAACTATATCTGCGAGCTGCCCAACAAGAAGACCATTTTAGTCGAGCTCGAGTCTCGTTTCCGCAACACCATCTGGATCAAGCGCGGCGGTTACGTCTTGGTTGACTTGGGTTCCATGGAGGAGCGCAGCAAGACTGGTAGCAAGGTTGTAGGAGAGATCATCAATATCGTAAGGGACGAGAAGGCATGGAGGAAGGAGGCTTATTGGTATGTCATATTGTTACTTCAGTGGATTGAACGGACGAAACTGACAGACGGACGAAAACACAGGCCCAAGCAGTTCGTCAGACAAACTTACGACGAGTCCGAAGACGAGGAATCGACTGTTGGAAAGCTGCCGCCTAGCGACTCGGAAGACGAAGAGTACGGACCTTGACGAGACATTCGGAGAACAGAGATACCCAAAAATCATATTTTATTGCCAGCCAGAAATATTACAGACAGCAAAGCAACTACATCACAACATCGCCGCCTCCTCCTTTTTCGACGACGACTTCATCCCAGGCTCCCACTCCTCCCGTGCGCCGAACCACACTCCTGCGACCGTAACGGCTAATACGCCCACCACCACCGCCGAGCTCGCCGGCGTGCTAGGAAACACGTTCCACGCCCACTCCTGCACCGCCCATAGCAGGTACACCAAGACAGGGTGCAACCCCGCGCGCCAGAGGAGGAACGGAGTCGACCATGCGACATAGGCATAGAACTGGTAGTGGAGGGACCTAGCAAAGAGGAGGCCCACAGCATTGGCAGACAGGATCGTGGTCATGATGTACCTCGGCGTCACATCCCGCGCCGCAGCGCGGTGCTCGGGGACAGTTAGAGGCGGTTTACCCGCCAAGAGGACAGGAGAGATTAGCTGAACAAGAGACTTGCGCGCAGGTTTGATCCAACGGGTGGTGACGAAGATTCCCAAAACGAGAAGGTGCAAAGCGAGCAGTGTGAGCGCGAACCCCTTGCTGAGAAAGATTTCCTCGCCGACGAAGCGCCAGTTGACGGTCCATTTAAAGAAGAACTGCCGGGAGAGCTCGAAGGCCCGGGAGAGGTATTCCGTGGGGTGGTGCGCCAGGAAGGGGACGCCGATGAGGACCTGGACCAGACCCATTGTTGCTGCGAGCTGCAGAGTGGTGACAAAACTGCCACTGCCGAGGAAGAGGACAACGCCTACGGCTGGTAAGGAGAGTAGTAGCGTCATTTTGACGCCGAGGCCGAGGGTGTAGAGTAATGCGCCGGCTTGCCAGTTGCGCCGCTGGAAGAAGAAGATGGCAAGCCAGAGGAACAGGACGGCGAAGCAGTCGTTGAAGCAGCGCAGGACGAAGATGCTGTGTAGCCGTTTCGAGAGGACCAGGAGCGGGAAGAGGTATGGTGGTGCCTGTTTTTGGTTTCACCCTGTCAGCTTCTCCCCCATCCAGCATTGTCGCAAAGCCACTTGTAGAAAGATACCTTGGCCTGCCAGTAACACCCCATAACAACCGCCAGCGTAACCATATAAAGACCCGCAAATAGCTGTTGCGCAAGCAATATGTTCCTCCCCTCATCCGTCAAGTGGTATAGTCCGGTGTAGATGTAGACGTGCGCAGCCGGGTACACGAGCGGACCAGTGCCGCCGCGGATCTTGGTGTAGTTGCGCTCGCCCGAGAGGATTTGGGAGACTTGCTCCATGTAGGCCGTCCAGTCGATTTCGGTGTCTATAGTTTGGGATCGTGAGCATACGGGTAACCGTACTCTATTCCGCGGTACCTGTTACGTACAAGGCACTTTCCAGATGATCAGCCCGCAGAGGAGCGCATCGACCAGGAAGAGGGCGGGCGGGATGAGCTTCGACAGAGCATGGCGACCGTTGGCGACATCTAGGGCGAAATCAAGGGCTTGCTTGTAGAGGGGCGGATTTGATTCTGGCCTACTTGACGAATCGGCCATCTTGTCCAGGGGGGGGTGCTCGGTGAAGATACCTCTACACCTTTGTTTGGTGGAAAGGAAGCTGCTAAGTCGCAAAAGAGGACGCGTTGCGATGACTTCCATCCAATTTCATGTGCCAACAGTCGTCATTAGACAGGGGCAGCAGTGCACTAATGATACCTACGATTACAGGGGGATGATAGTGGAGCCGCTACACTGCCCCAGTTGGAGGGTTGACTGTGCAGGTTTATTTGTTTCTCCTAAGCACACACAACCCTGATGAGTTACTATAAGACTAGGGAAGGGGCAGCGAGGGCATCCAGCTTGAACTTGATATCCAAAGTTGTTTTTTCTCTAAAGGCTAACATGTGATAAATGGTCAATGGAACTTTTCATACCGGGAGATTCCCTATCCAGAAACCGGTACCCAAGAAATGGAAAACACCGACCTATCAGTACCCGTCTTCATCGTCATCCGTCCCGTTACCCTCCATGTCGTTGTCGTCTACTTTATAAGTTTCCTAGCCTTCCTCATCTTCCTTACTATCTTCGCTACGCAATCGTTCTGCGAATTTCTTGGTGGCTAAGCTCACTGTAATGGCAGAGCCAGTATATGATCAGATAACGGAGGAATGTTGTAAGATCCAGCTCGTACGGGTTGCTCTTCTCCAAAACCGAAGCCTCGGCTGACAAGTTGTTTTCACTGTCAGAAAGGCTATCCACTTGATGTGCTCCGTCGTGTTCTATGGACTGAAGTTTCTTGACGAGATAGACAAAGCATCTAGATGGCAAGAGCCGTGTTGCCATTTCAGCTCCTCTTCTCCTCGGACCTAGAGTAATCTCTTTCAGAACTCTTCAACAGGTATTCCTTGACTTGATTTTCAAGGATAAAAGCAACCTTTCTGTCCTGGATCCTGACCAAAAGACTGCACTTATTAAGTGACTGCTGGACGTCATCGATGGTTAATCCTGTGAGAATTGGCAACTCACCCAGAGTGACAGGCTCCTTGGAAAAAAGAAAGAAAAAAAAAAAAAAAAAAAAAAAAAAAAAAAAAAAAAAAAAAACGAGTGCCCGCAACATTTCTTTCACATCTTTGGTGTCAGCATCATTGGAAGCGAGTAGCTTTAATCAGATCGACTCGAGAAGTTGGCTCAAGTTTTTCCGGAATTTTAGCCAGTTCGGCACCTATTTTTTGGGCTTTTTGGTGTTGGGCGGAAGTTGGACCAAACGGAAACAGGTGATATCAATCCAGATGGAGTCCTGGGCTCCGTCTTTGGCCGACCGATAGTATCTGCAGAAAGAGATATGTAAGAGTCAAGCTGGCTGATACTGCAAAGATGAGGGAGAATGCAAGATACAAAGCTTGGAACAAATCCCCTCTTTCAGTCGCAGGTATAAAAGCATTGTGACGGACAGAGTCGCGTGTATGCCCGCTTGGTTGTGTAACCCTTTTAATGCAGGGTGGCAACCAACCGTCCAGTCTTGTCGGCTCCATCGTGAAAAGTACCTCGTCAAGACAGGGAAAACAGTGCCTCTTTGGTCCTGAAATCCCCGAAATGCTGAATGAAAGGTCTGCTCGCGAGAAAAGAGCGGTCGCCATCTCCGAGATGCAACAAATGCAGCAGCTTCCAGCAGATGAAGATGGGTACAGTCGAGGTGCCTGAGTACATTTTACATTGCAGCACTGCACGCAGCTGTCAGATCACATCTGCAAAACAGATGAGATCCCATGACAAAGCGCAATGCTGGTCCTGCAGTGATGAATAATCGAATCCATTACATACTTAGTAGCTTCACGGGTATTTTATTCAATGGGCAGCCTCTCTGGTTTTCGATATGGTCGGATGGATGAAGTAGGAATAAACAAACGTGAGAACAACTGAAGTCGAAAACCATTGGACCCCGTTCAGGGGTACAAAAGCGGAAGTGGAAGGTGCGCCGGCCCGCAAACAGCTGCAACAAAACCGATAAGATACCACTCCAGCTGACGATATGGAAATTTACCCGCAGCCGAAAGTGCAAATAGCGGTAATGCATCTAGTCACATACGAGCCGAGGCGCGTTCACGGTCTAAAGACGCATGTTCAGTGTTGTGTGATCATCCAGAGCATCGAATTGTCTTCATCGAATTGTCCCATCTCACACGATGCCTAGAGGACAGCCCAAGACGGCGGCCATGGGCCAGCACGGGCAGCATCAGCTGCAGATGACTCCTCAGCCGGCCCAACCTCAAATGCAACAGCAAATGCAGCAACAACAGCAACAATTACACCAGTTCCACAATTTCCAACCGCAAAACCCGCCCCAGGGCCAAGCGGCCAGTTCAGCTATCCATCAACACCAGCAGGCTGGATACACTCAGCAACAACTCCAACCTATCCCGAACCAAAGTGCTACTGGCACTCAGCAGGGCCAACAGCAGCAACCACAGTCCCAGCAGCAGCAGCAGCAACAACTTCATGATCAGCAAGCTCAGCAGGGCCAGCCCGGTCCGTCCGGCGGCCAAGGGCAACCACAGCCGGCCCGGCCCAACTTCCAGATGGCCCTCCTGCCCCCTCCCCAGGACCGCTTGTATCCCACCTTTGAAGCGCTCCAGACGGACCTCAAAGCCTTCACGCGGTCGCAGGGCTACGCCTGTGTGATTGTGTCCTCACTCAACCGGGACCCGGACGGCCACTACCGGAGGTACAACCTCTGCTGTTCCAAGGGCGGCAAGACGTACACCTCCCACAGCCGGGGGATTCGACAATCGCGGTCGACCAAGACAGGGTGTCCGATGAAGATGAAGGCCGTTCAGGAGAAAGCGTGGCCGTACGACGACAAGTGGCGCGTGGTCGTCCAGTGCGCCGAGCACAACCACGAACCCTTCACGGGCGAGCAGCCCGGCGTCAACGTCCCTGCCCAGTTCCGCAAGATCGAGCAGGATGGCGCCCGTTGGCTCAAGATCATGCACCGCGACGCCCAGTGCACCCTTAGGCAGCTGACGATTGGGATTCGCATCTCGTTCGGGGACAAGTACCAGTATGTCAAGAAGAGCGATGTGCGCAATATGTTAGCCAAGATCAAGAGGGAGGATGAGAGGAAGGCGGCGGCCGATGCGGCTGCTCAGGGTCTCCCAACCAACTTGCCGTATACGCTTATCCCGCCTGAACATCAGCCACCGCCGCTTCAGCCGACCAATGTGGAAATGATGCCGCCGTTGCCGTCGGACTTACAGGTGCCGGACCCGGACTTGGAGTCGGATGATGATGATGCAGAGCCTTAGTTGAAGCCGCCGTTGCCGTTAGACTTGCAGGTGCCGGACCCGGACTTGGAGTCGGATGATGATGACGATGATGCAGAGCCTTAGTATACCGAGGCCTGGTGCGGAGAACTGAGGAAAGAGCTTTGGGTTGATGTTCAAGCAGCCAAGGCAGAGCTACATGAGTTGGCAATTCTGATCGATTCGCGGTTTGATGCTGTGTTGATCGAGCTTGTGCAGAAGCAAGGACTGCAACCTTCAGTTTTGACAGTTGAGACGTGTGCGGTCTGACTAATGGTACATGACACATATGTATGAGCGCTTATGATTTACCTGTTTTGATGTTGTCCGGTGACCCTGCACCAGGGTCGAGCGGTACTATAATCAGGGTTTGTTTGTCTTGTTCTCTACTAGTTACGAGGACATTCAGGTTGCAAATAATATTTCACAGTTGAGGTGGGTAATAAAGCCTCGAAGACTATCCATGGCAGCGGAAGACCATTCTCAATGGCATTTTACATAAGGGAGGGAACAGGGAAAAGAAACGGATAATCAAATAAGAAAAGAGGTCAAAGGGGAGTCAGACGTCTCTCATCTTGAGTCGGTATAGACTGTTACAAGGCGGTCACTAGATTCTTCTGCCAGCACTTCTTGGTATCAACTTGGGTAACAAAGCCATGGCTTCAACAATTCTCTCATCATATTCATAGCGTGTAACTAACGGCAGAAGCTCCTCGGAGTTGCAACTCAGCCATCTCATGGGTGCCGTTCCGAGCCCCCTTTTAGTTCTAACTGTGCTTTTATATAAATCAAACATGCCATCAACATCACCACATCCTTACACGCTCTACCAACCCCTTCCAGCCATTCTCTCCTCGGGCTTCATACCCGCATTGCTGATACCCTTCATAGCCTCACCGTGCTCAATGCACGCCTCAACCAACGCACCGTAGTCATTCCAGTTAGCCACAGCCTTGACAACCGCCCTCGCCCTCTGCAACGCGTGCTCAGGCGTCTTGGCATCCTTGAAGATACCGCTACCCACAAACACACCATCGCACCCAAACTCCATCATGAGCGCCGCGTCCGCCGGCGTCGCCACACCTCCGGCAGCAAAGTTGACCACCGGCAGCCTTCCGAGCTCAGCAGTCTTCTTGAGGAGCTCAACATCGGCACCGATCTCCCTCGCCATCTTGGCCACCGCCAGCTCACCACCACTGGCCAACGCCGCCTTAGCCTGGGCAATCTCGGCGTTGACGGTCCTGATGTGCTTCACCGCCTCGACGACATCTCCCGTGCCGGCCTCACCCTTGGTCCTGATCATAGCCGCGCCCTCCTTGATTCTCCTGAGCGCCTCACCCAAGTTCCTGCATCCGCAGACAAAGGGGGCCTTGAACTGGTCCTTTTGCACGTGGTACGTGTCATCGGCCGGGGTCAAGACTTCGCTCTCATCGATGTAGTCGACGCCCAGCTGCTCCAGGATGCGGCACTCGACCACGTGGCCGATACGCGCCTTGGCCATGACGGGGATGGTGACCGCGGCCTGGATCTCCTTGATCATGGACGGGTTGGACATGCGCGCTACGCCGCCGGCGGCGCGAATGTCGGAGGGGATGCGCTCGAGAGCCATGACGGCGCAGGCGCCGGCCTCTTCGGCGATGCGAGCCTCGGCGGGGGTGGTGACGTCCATGATGACACCGCCCTTAAGCATCTGGGCGAGACCGGCCTTGACGGTGAAGGAGTCGCCGTTGGTGGTGGATGTGGAGGCCATTTTGAGGGTGGTAATGGTTTCTCTGTGAGGTGAGATGGATGTGTGGATAAAAGGCTCGTAACGTGAGAGAGTGGTAAGGGGAAGAGGGGAGGAGGTTCGTGGAATAGATTCAACCAGAACCACAATTGAGAGCTTAGGTTTGTTTTGTGCTTGGATACTTTTGTTTCTATCACAACAACGGATCACGGGCACAGGTCGTGGAAATAGACTTTTTGAAGCGCAATGACATTACGTGATGACTCAGATCATACCGGAGAGTGTAGGGAGGGGCTCGAGAGGGAAAAAAAGGTACCTCGGTACGTACGTACATACGATCCACTGAATGAGAAAGGAAGGTCTACCCATGTGCGGCGAAATCGGACGATCTGGACCTTCGACACCCTCGCAGTTTCCTCGCCCAGGAAAGACATCCCACATTGTTTCCCCACGGGCACTGCAGTAGTGTGGGCGACATGGCAAGTCCCGTTGTACACTACGAGAAAACAGCGTTGCAGTATGGAATAAAAAAAATGGTGTGGATTCGATCGAGAGGAGGACGTCTGAGAGCCGTTGATCCCGGTGTTGCCCGCGAGTACATAGTATTTCGCTTCGGATCCATATAGGAGTCATACTGTGTGGTATACAAGTATTAGTCATTTCTCTGGCCCAACACTCGACAAACCCGATTCTCTTTTTTGCATTTGTTTTGGCAGTCAACCTTCCAGCGTCGATCGATTTCTGTTTCATTTTGAGCTTGTTGGAAGCCAATCAAAGCGAACGGGATATCCGCTTTGGGTATCTGTCGGCCTCACATCTTCTGTCGTCTCAGCTCTGACTGACTGGCAATTGGGATAGAAGACGCAAAGTGAAGGCACAAACGTTTGAATAAGCATCGTTCCTGCATGATTAGAAAATTTTCTGTAACCCCGCGCTTATCTTCAACCTCGCTTGCTCTTCCTCGATGCTGAATGGATATTTCCCTCGAACATTCCAGGTTCCGTCGCTTATTCCTTGCTTGGAAGCTTGGCAATGGCAAGAAAAGAGCTCGCCTTGGAGGGGCAAGTGCAACCACCACATGAGAACCAGGATACCACAGACTTTCACACTCAAGTCCGATTTATCCCCATGCTTTACAGCCAATTACACCACAGAAGAACTACTAGGCCGGCACTCAACGTAGCATCCAGACACATCGAACAATACAATTCCCGTGGCTTGTAAAGTTGAAGATAAATCCCCGACATGAACGTGATTCAGCGGTATACATTCGCTGAGGCAAGTCCAAAATTTGCAATCAATACCGATCTACGCTCTCACGCAACGAGTCAGTCCCGGTTTACGGACCTCCTCCCGTGCCGATCAGACTCCCCCAGAAAACTTCCGGGTCGGGTTTCGCGTTTACGCGGAAGGTTTGGAGAAGGAGGACGGGAGATCGCGGACAATGATTGATCGGGGATCCGTGTGTGTACGACTGTGACTGCCGTGACTCCCCACCAACAGACCAGGAGATTCTCGCTCGTCCCGCTTCCCCTGGTGCGGATGCCAAACAGGCCCCCGATCATTGCACAGACCCCCCCCGAGTGGCAACACCAATTCCATTATCCCAACGATACGACCATCGCCGCCTACATTCGGCTTTGTCAACCGGGGCCCATAGGTTTGGTACACCTCGGTGATATCAACATTCCCTCGTGGCTTCTCTTTTTGTTCTTAAGTTCATTAGCGACAAAGTTACAGTAGCCGACCCAGGAACGAAGAAGAGTCATCATCAGGAAGTCCACACAAATTTCAGACTTCACTGACAAGGAACTTCCGATATCGCCCGTCTTGTACACTCGTTCACCTGGTGTAACCAAAAGACCTATCGACATCTCTCAGTCGTCACTCATCCCATTGGCCCAGAACAGAACATCACTTCGGACCAAACACCACATTACTTCGGCACACAGACACAATGACCGTCGACGCCGTAAACCCCCAACAAATAACAGTCGGCGTCCTAGCCCTCCAAGGCGGCGTGATCGAGCACATTTCCCTCCTCCAAAAGGCAGCTGCCCAACTATCGTCACGATCATCGACACCAACACCACAATTCAGCTTCATCCAAGTCCGTACCGCCGCCCAACTCTCGCAATGCGACGCTCTCATTATCCCGGGAGGAGAAAGCACAACCATGGCTATCGTGGCCAGACGCCTGGGATTGCTTGATCCGCTCCGGGAATTCGTCAAGTAAGTCTTCTCTACTCGCTCCCTTCTTTTTTTTTTCTCTTTTCCTAACCCGTCTTTCCCAATTCCCATCCCCTGACTCCCCCAATGGAAAACAAACAAACAAACAAACAAACAAACCATAGGGGGAAAAAAAGGGTAAAATCGCTAACCTCTCCCACTACCACCACAGAGTCCAACACAAACCAACATGGGGCACCTGCGCCGGCCTAGTCATGCTCGCCTCCGCTGCCTCAGCAACCAAACAAGGCGGACAAGAACTCATCGGTGGGCTGGACGTCAAAGTCCTCAGAAACCGCTACGGCACACAGCTCCAGAGTTTTGTGGGAGATTTGCGGTTGCCTTTTCTGGAAGAAGGGGAGCCCTTCAGGGGAGTGTTTATCCGCGCACCGGTTGTGGAGGAGATTATCACCACCGCTGGGGATGATGAGGTTACCAAGCTAAAGGGAAAACAGGTGGAGGTAATGGGGACTTACCCAAAGCCACAAGGGACAGGAGAAGGCGAAGACATTGTCGCCGTGCGGCAGGGGAACGTTTTCGGAACGAGTTTCCACCCCGAACTTACGGATGATGTCAGGATACATACTTGGTGGTTGAAGCAAGTTGTTGAGGGGCTGAAGTCAGGGGGAAGGGATGTCCAGGCTCAGTCTTAATAGGGTCGGACTTTCGACGTGGGTGAGCTGGGTGCATAAGGTTGAAATGACATCCTATCGCGACTTTGGAGGTCGCGGTTGGAAAGTTGAACTGCTCTGCAATGGTTTGTGTAGAGCCGAAAGAAAACTACACCAGGAGGATCTACATCATGAACTCGACATGGCAGCGTTAAATCCAGAACCCACAGTCAATGAAGGGAAGACAGACCGCGGACTTGCCTGTTACACCGCTTCACATGTCCGCGCACATCATCTTGACTACAGCAACACACCATCTTTCGACCACTGACAGTTCACACATTGATGTAAAGTAAATGCAGTTCTAATATTGCGACATCCGGCTCTGATAAGATACAACACACACTATTAGACGAAACTCGCTCGAACCAACGACACATAAATTCATTTCCAAATTTTCATCATCCAAAGAAAAACACTACAACTTCAACATCATTTACCAGGAAACTCATTACCCAGAAGCATTTCCACCGAATCCAAGAAAGCGAGCAAGCCTCGAAGCTTGTAGACGTATTGTAACGGTGGGATCCCAGTGAGAATCCATCTCCATCGCCGTCGGGCCCCCCTCCCCTCTGAGCCTTCCCTCATGCGAGACATGGACAACTTCGTGATGCAGCACCGGACTTCCCTCACGCCCAAGTCTCCCTTCATTGGGAACATGAATAAGTTCATGCGAATAGCCGCCACTCATAGGACCATGTCCGGACATCGAGGCCAGGGGCGCGAACCGGTTGGACATGGCCATCAGCCTGCTTTCATTCTTCTTTCGGCGTACTGTCAACTTCTTGCTTGTCCCTTTCCAGTGTGATCCAGCTGATACATTGTATGACCGCTCCCGAAATGAACCCTCGGCAGCTTTCTCATTGACAGTGACAATTCTCCGAAGGTCTTCGCCAAAGTGTGGCAGGCCGTACAAGCTGTCGACGAGCTGCCGAACACCTTGGTCGTCCACTACGCGGTCCGAATCGCCCCTGTCCATGGCTTCGGTGAGAACTTTGACTTTCTGGATGTGTTCTGCCTTGTACTTTTCGAGCATCTCCAGAGTGTCCTTCTTGCCTCCGCTCTTGATCTTGAGGCGTTCCTGGTTGATCAGATGATCGACATACTCAATGGTGGCATCGTTGTAGGGTTCAATGGCGTGGCGCTTGAGAAAGAAGCCGAACTGAATGGCTGCCTCTTGAACTTGAGCATACTCAAGCTTGAACTCTGCCACTGCCTCCTTGCGCATGTCGATGGCCTTTTGCTGAAGCTCAAGTCTCGTGGCCCTCTCAATCAGATCCTGTGCGATGTTTTTGTCCTTGTACTTGTAAGTCATTGATCGATAGTCGTAGTAAATGTGCATGTGATCCATGTAGTTGTGACCGCACATCTTGCAAAAATCATTCTGCATGGCCCAGCACTGCTTGAGCGCAGGATCACCCTTTGTGTTTCTCTTGACGCTGTTCCCAAGGCCACAAGGCTTGTGGCACATTTGCTTATAGACAACCACTGTCTCATCACGTCCTTGGAAGTCGCTTCGTACCTCAACGCAGTCGTGATGGGCACAAATTGTACGAGGCGCATCCACCTCGTAAGACTCGACGCTCTCTCGTTGGATATAGAGACTTTTCTCGAGTTCGTCTCTGGAAAGCTTCGCTGACTGGAGTTGTTTTATTTGATCATTATTGACCGCAATGCTACTTGCAATCTTTTGTGCAATGAGCGCCATTGGCTCTGTCAACTTGATGATCAAGTCACGGGTCTCATTAAGATTGATGGTGCTGCGGACGTTGTGAGGCGCAAGTTCCCCGACGTATTTGACGAGTCGCTTACACTCGGCGACGGAGTATTCCCAGCTTCGCATGTTGTCCTCGAGGAGACCCATGTCAATGCCTTTCTTCTGAGCAGCGAGGTAGCGAAAACTCTCCGAGTCGAAACAGTACACGTTTTGTTCATACAGACCCAGCTGAACCGTGGTGTAGCTGCTTAGAAGGGCTTCCAAAGGCTTGAAAGTGTCGCCTGGCTTGTAGTTGGAGCCACGGGTGTTGGTGAATCCGAAGACAATGTTGGTGGCTGCGTTACGATGCAGCTGGGTTAAGAGTTGTTTGATGCAGAATCGGAACATAACCGTTAGTCGCGAGGCATTTGGCTTGAGAAGAATCAAGATTCCGTGAAGTTTCTTGTATGTGCGAAGGACATGAAGAATGTCAGCCATGTTCTTGTTGTCCTGTTCCAAGCCTCTGGTATCGCCGATACCAGGCGTGTCGATGAGCCGAACTCTTGTGTTGTCAATATCAACCGTGTAGACAGCAGTTGACTGGGTGGCTGACTGCCCGCGAGCTCCGTCATGTTCACTTTTGCTTGACCCAATCTTTATATCCTTCTGAACAAACTTGCCTCTTCCGTCTGAGTCGTCTTTGAGCTGGGTACTGAAGGAGCAAGGTATCACCCACTTCAAGTCATCCGCTTGCAGCGCATCCTCGAGAGTGTCGTAGCTCAGGTAATTGACAAAGGCGTTGATCCATGTCGATTTTCCCACGCCTGTCTCCCCCAGAATCAATATGTTCAGTTCGTTGAAGGGCTTGAGGTTGGTGAGAAGCTGAGATAGCACAGGACGCTCATACCGTGTCCATCTTGGCCCATGTCTTTGATCCTGACACTTGAAGTCCCAATGATCGAAAGGAGTAGCTCCGCAGTCACAGTAAAGGCGGTCATCAACATGGCCGTACTCAACAAGTGAACGGCATAAAGCGCAAATCCACTGGCAATGCAAGGTCTGGTCACAATCTTGGTGGGGACAGGGGACCTTGACAGGACGTCGTTGAACTGGCTTAGTGTTGATGGAGCTGTCCAGCCACTCTTGGTCATATTGCATGATACAGTTGGATGCCAGAATCTTGCGATGCTCCAGTAGATCTTCGATGAAAACACGCCCGCTCCGATATTGGCAGATGTAGACCTTGTCCAAAAGGTGCCCGACAGCATCGGCGTCGACAGCAATCAGTATTGTCTGGTGACCTTTACAGGCAGAAAGTTCCTCGAAAAGGTGGATTGTCTCGTCCCACTCGCGTGAGTTTCGCAGACTACTGTTGAAATTGAGAACAAAAGCGTCGTCGTAACTCCCGCGTGAGAGAATCGTGGTTAGGGAAGTGGAGCCGTAGCCAATATAGGTCGCTCCCAGACTGCTCATCTGGTCCTTGAAATCAAGCGTGCCACGATGGTTTGCCATGGAGCGGAGTTTCTCAGGTGACAGCTCACTGCCCTCTGCCTCTACAAGCAGATTGTGAAGCCTGTCTTCGTTTGCTTTGCCGTAACGAACATCTTTCAGGGCTTCTGCAAAGCTTGCTTTAAAGGCAAACTCATCAGTCTTGACAGGGCGGAGCTTACGCACAATAAGACGTAGATGATCGGGTGGAATAGCCGTGGGGCAATTCTTGCATCGGACAACGTAATTGTTGAACTTCTGTTGTGCATCTGCCCAGTCGTCAAGGAACTGAATAAAGTACGTTAGGTAATCAATGTTGGGTTGGTGAATGACGGGCTGATGTTGGATGTCGACGAGGCGAAGCATAGAGAGCAGCGACACGGGCATAAGAATGTACTGAATAGGCTTTCCCTGGGCATCATTGGTAGCGTAGAGGCGACTGCGAAGGCCGTGGATGAAGCTAGTTGAAGATGGGGCGGCTGGCGGCCGTGGATCACCAGCGAGACCATTGTCCAGAACTGACAAAATACTGTCATGAAGGACGCTGTTACCGTCATCATACTCAAGGGCTATTTCCTTCGATGGGCCGTATTGAACTAGCTCCGTGGAAGAAAACTCGATGGCATGGGAGGCTTCGAGAGCAGCCTGTAGCAGACTTTCAAGCTCCTTGTCGAGGCATTGCTGGAGACGAGCGACATGGGTAGGGTCGTCGGCTTTGGTGCGGGCTGTGACGATGAATTGAGCACCCCAGGTGATGCCGGTGACCACGTGGGTTGCGCTGGTGCTATCAAGAACGTCGGGTATGATGAGGTCTTTCACACCACTAGCAGTGAGGTTGAGCTCCTCCTCAACCGTCGTGACTGTATAGTGCAAGGAAGACTGGGCAACATCGCCGGGGGTTTTGTGATGGTCGGCCAAGTAAAGGCCACAGCCGTCAATGGAAGAAAGCCCCGCAAGAATGCTGGCTCCGAGTTCGGTTCCAACACCCAGATCAGCAAGCTTCTGGCGGAACGTGGTCGCTTTGCTGAGTTTGGCAGTTGAACTGGCCTTTGCCTTAGAGTCAACTGCATTGGCTGGTGTCTCTTTGAAGAGCGAATGAGAGAGGAAGGTATCGCTGCGGGAGTCGTAGAGTGTTCCCAGGGCAACCTCGAAGCCCAGAGCTGGACGTGACACCACGGGCGAGGTCATCTTAGCCGTGGTGGAGATGGAAAGGATGGTGTGAACGAGATTAATGGAAGTAGTAGGTAGGTTTCGAGTAGAAGTCGGCAGGCAGGATGTGATGAAATGTGTCAGTAGAGACTGTATCGAGGCACTTCTTTCCTTGGGAGTTGCACAGCCTTTATAAAACTAAGAGGAAGGTTCAGTTCCTACAACCTTCCAAGAAAACAACCGTCACAACACGAAGGTACCTATCCCACATCCCCCCCAATTCGGTAGTCACTTCCCATCTTGGAGAGACGGATACCATCATGCCATCAACCGTTACTGGTAGGTACCTGACCGTTTCTGCTATCTGACGAGAGAATTGGTATATCTACAAGTTAACGCAGCGTGGCACACAAGCTAAGTAGGCAAGTAGGGCAAGTCGGGGTACAATGTCTTGCCTTGAGCTAGCTTGGCTTCATGTGCCAGGCTGAGTCAATGTACCTCAAGACAGCGATGAGAAGACCAAAGTCGCGTTTTCACCAAGTCCATCATAATTTTGATTTCGTTTTCATAATAGGTCATCTTGCCTTGTCTTCATCGTGTCTTCCTGCAGCAATCCATGAAATGCCGGCAATGTTCCGCTCGGGGCCGTTTGCCGATAACAATGCAAACGAAACCTGGACCACCACGGCTTGACCACGCCTCTCCACGACGGCTAAGTGACTGGGACGCGGATTCCAACCTGTCTTCAAACACTTTGCATGCGAGAGGTCGAGTGGTGGAAGATCAGGGACGTGACAAGAATCATGAGTTCTGACATGCAACATCCACGACGGCGAAGTGGTTACCGATTTGAAGTGGACTATTCAGATTGCCTTCCCAATTGTCCGTCCCGACGACGTCGAGGCATTCGACTCCGTCCTCCCAAACGTCTCCTCTGACTCCAATGTTTCGGCATCGCCCTGTGCCTCCGTCTCCAACCTCTCTATCCTATAGTAGTCTTCGACATTGCTCCATTGGCTGCACAGGCTTTCGCTTCTTTCATGCACATACCGGCGTCGCTGTGCATCCAAAGTCTCGCTCCTCCCAAATCCATCTTGACCGCCCTCACTATAGTAACTTTCCTCGCTGTCCTGGCTGTCGCTCCTCCCGAGTCCGTAACCCTCACTAACCTCTTTCCGAGTTGCCACAGAGGTAGCCATACCGCTCTCGTCCAGAACCATGGGCGCCGCCACAACAGCCAAATGCCCATTGTTCCCGTAGGAACGCTGACTTCCGCTCCCCTGGCTGTCTTCGCTCTCCTCACTGCTCTCGCTAATGGTGCTAATGGTACTGAACAGATTCACAGCTCTTCCATCCATGGGGTTTCCATGCTCCTCAGCCTGGATTTTCCCAACATCCAGCGGGACGTCATGTTCCCTCTCCAATGCTTGCTTCATCTTTTCTTCCACGCTCAGGTTTCTCTTATGCCCCTGTGCTCCGTTTTCTTCCTTCCCTGCACCACCACCCTGAATCCCCCGCGCCAATGCCGCTCGATTCTGCCGCTCCAACCGCGCATTCCGCATCCTCACGTGCCAAAGTACATAGCCAATCACTGTCATGACGGCTAACACCCCGACTACTGAGACGAGTATGATGGCAACTTTTGCTTGGGAGGAGAGGTACTCGTTGGAGGAAGGGGGGTAGGATGCAGTCTTTTCTTGCAATGAGGCGTCAATATCGGCGTTGGAGGCCATTGCAGGTTGATCGGTGGTGGTGGTAGAAGTAGTGGAGGAAAGAGATGAGGAGGGGGTTGGTGATGAGGTTGTGATTGAGGAGGTGAGAGAAGAAGATGCTGATGAGGAGGAGGAGGAGGAGGAGGAGGAGGAGGAGGAGTCCGTGGCTAATACGACAAATCCGCGAGCAGGGTCGGTCGATGATGTGATGACTGAGGAAAAGGTAATTGAAGATGCTGGGATGGCGGTTTCGGTTACTGCCGTATCGGATGGTGAGGTGCTTGTAGAGCTAGGGTTGGCGTCGGATGTTGACGTAGATAGTGATTGTATGTCTGAGACCTGAGACGAGGACTCTGCCACGGCGAGAAGAGCTGCTTCGGTGGCCTCAGTTGGAGATGGAGTTACTGTAGGTGTTTGTGCCGGGTCCTCGACGGGGATGGGAGCGAAATTTTCGTAAAACGTGGGCAGATTAGAAACAACGACGGTTGTTGTACCGATAGTGCTGCTCGGGGAAACCGAGGTGAAGACTCCGGTCGCCTCCATTGGAGGTGACGCAGCCTGCTCCAGAGACTGAACAAGAACTTCCGCAGGTGCTGTCTCTGGAACCGGTTGATTTGACTCCAGAAACTGTGGTGATCCTCCTTCAAACCCTTCATCACCTACCCCTGTAGATCCTACGGGAAGGTCGGCTTCTGGATCGGGTGGGCTAGATGTGTTCGACATAGCCGTTCCTGCTGCTGTGCGCTGGTAGACGGTAGCGGTGGGATCTGTTTTTGAAATTGTGTGCAACGAGCTGTGGTGGGTGCGCAGACTCGAAGGCGTTGTCACTGCAGGTTCTCCTTCCGCTCTTCCAGCCAAGGCATTGCCAGTGCCTCTGCTTGATGTGTCATCATCTCCAGACGCTGGAAGCTGAGCTGCGGCCAACGCGGCTTGCAGCATGAAGAAACGGGTGAACTGCATTCCCTATGTGGAAGTATGAGCAAATATCAAAGGAGAGGTTGAGAGTTCAATGATGTCCGCAAAGAGACGGAAAGGAAAACCGGATGGAAGTTGCCGAAAGAGAATTTTTTTTTCTTTCAAGCCAAGGGAAAATCCATGAGCTTTGGGTCTCTCACGCAGCAATATTGAAAGGAAGAGAAAAGCCATGATGAAGACCTCAACAACCGGGGAGTCAAGGCAGAGAGGGACGGGCGACAACTCCCGGACTACCGGGCGACGGACCCTTGGAGAATTTGAACGAGTGCATCAGACATAGAACGGAAAATGTCATTGCGAGTCGCCTTGGAGTGCAATGTCCGCATGCTGGTGATGCCGGACCCTTCCGGCGGACGAGTGTATCACGTCGACTTGGGCCCCTTGGTCATTGTCAACGACGAGGGATTCAGGGGTTTTGTTTTGGTCGTGATGCCCAAACGGGGATAGTCCCTGGGTGCTAAGGGGAACAACAAGAAAAAGGGTTAGGGTTGTCTAATGACGTTATTCCAAGACTCTCAATGTGCAAGGCGGTGAGGGGGTCTTGAGGGGATATCGAACGGCAGAATAGCCGGCGTGGTGGGGCCGATTGGGTGGAATTGGGATGGAATTGGGAGAAAGTGGGATTGACCAGTTGGAATTGGCTCGACAGCTCTCCTCCGGCTGCCGGTTCCTCCTCAAGTTGCCGGCAATCCCCCCCAAGTCCCCCAAGTCGCGCGATTGTTGGCACCACTCAACCGCAATCAACCGCCAAACATCGTTGCAACTGACCCAGATCTCCATCTCTCTCCGCCCCGTCTGGTCTGGGTTGGGCAACCGACTCTCTCTCTCTCTCTCTCTCTCTCTCTCTCTCTCTCTGACTCTCTCAAACACATACGATAGACAATGTCCTCCACTACAGCTATCCGACTAGCTGCGCGCCCTTCCTCTTGGAGGGGCACCAGCGCATTGTCATCCGGTCGTCCTCTCTCCCAACTCGCTTCCCTACCACGAAGATCGATAAACCCCTCGATAAGCGGTATGCGCCAGGGCACGCTTCGCCTATCCATCCACGACGGCCGTCTGTTCTTCTCGACCCAACCTCCCAAAGACTCCCCCGAGAATAGGAACAATAAGGAGACCGAATCCTCCAATGTCATCTTCATGCCACCACCTCCCCCGGCGCAGACCGAGGCCCCGTCGTCAGGGTCAGCCAAAGAAGACACCACCGATGCCACCAACAAGTCCGAAACAGAAACACCCACAGCTGCTTCCGAGTCCGAAACCTCCAAGTCTTCCGAGTCCGACGTGTCCAGCGCTTCCACCAGCGACAGCGCCAACTCGTCCGAGACTACTACTACATCAGAGGCCACCACAGAAAACGGCAACAATGACACAGCCCAACCCGAGCTCCCCTCCCGTACCGAAGCCCACCGCGCCCGCCTCTCCGCCCGCTTCTCCACCATAATGGACAACTTCCAGACCCGTCTCCTAACCGCCACCCAAACCCTCAACGATCTCACGGGGTACTCAGCCATTGAGCAAATCAAGCGGAAGAACGCCGAGCTCGAAGTCGCCCACGGGCAGGCTCAGTCTCGCTTGCGCGACGCCCGACACAATTACAAGAGCTTGACCATGCATCGCGCATCGACGCAGCGCGAGGTGACCACTCTTTTGGCTCGGAAGGATACGTGGAACCCACTCGACCTGGAACGCTTCACGAGCCTGTACCGCCTCGACCACGAGCTGGAAGCGCAAGTGGCACAAGCAGCGCAGGAGTTGACCGAAGCCGAAACCGAAGAGTCGCGGTTGTCCGCCGACTTGAACGCCGGGATACTCAAGCGGTACCACGAGGAACAGATCTGGAGCGATCGAATCAGGCGGCAGTCGACGTGGGGCACGTGGGGACTGATGGGGGTCAACGTTTTGCTTTTCCTGGTGCTGCAGTTCGTTGCCGAGCCGTGGCGAAGGAAGAGGTTGATGAAGGGCATTGCCGAGAACGAAAAAGGGGTGATTGACGAGGTCAGACATGAGTTGGGCCAAGTAAGGCAGGCGCTGGAGGCGAGTGGGTTGAGAGAGACGGCGCATTTGGCGAGGTTGATGGAGCAGGAGAGGGAGATTCAGGCGTTGGCATCTACTTCGTCTTCTGGGGACCCCCAGAGAGGAGGAGGAAGTGAAGGAGAAACTGAGATGGACATTGGCGCAGAGTTCATGGCCGCCGCCGCCGAGGAGGCTGCGGAAGAGGCCGCCACCGCCCAACAACAACAACACCAAACACCAGAGACACAAGAACCGCAACAACCACCATTCACATGGAAGCAAACCGCCCAAAAATGGCAACAAACGCTCTCGGACCCTCAACAAATCAAGGCTGCCGTCGTCGACCTCTACAGCGACAGGAGGATAGATCTCAAGATGCGGGACGTGTCGCTGCTGGCCCTGGAGAGCGCGGCGACGGGTGCGGCCGTGGTTGCCAGCGTTGCGTTTCTTGTTTTGCGCAGCAGTGGTAGCGGGAAGGCTTGATTTGATGTGTCTTGGTTTTCTATTTTTTTATGTCACCCTTTAACGAATAGATTAGAGCTTTTGGGGGGGTTTTCGTGTTGTCGTGTGTGTGTCTCAAAAAAGAGATTTTAGCTGCATTGGAAGGGAAGCAAGGGAGCGGGCTTTTTACTAGAACGCTGGTTGCTGATTGCGGTTGTATGTTGTTGTATGATGTTGTAAGCTGGTGTTGTTGTTGCAGCATGACTTCTTCTTTTATTTGTTTTATATCTATATGTCATATGATGAATGATGATGTATATAGACATACGTTTCTTCTTGTATACATTGATCCTCACATCGTATTTAATCGACGGCAATTTTGAGAAGACAAAGAAACGAAAAAAAAAAAGTGGTGAGGGTTTAGACTGAAGAGGAAGACAAGCAAAGCTACCACTACCTACTCTTCTAGTGTACAATACACACCGAACAACCCCTTAATAGCAAACTCTTCCATCATGGTATCTCAAACAACGCTGACTTCAAGATCTAAATAAAAGCCCGAACCAGTGTTCAACCAAAGTGAAAAGCAACTAAACCTTCTCTTTCGTGCACCCTCGAGTCTAAACTTCCAAACACCCCCCCCGAATCGAAAGGCTTTATCATTTCGCTTGTTCTTCTTTCTCTTTCTATAGGTTAAGTATTGTTCAATAACTATTAGATCTTTCCAGCCTTCAACCCACACCACAACCATGGTGTCGCCTTGTGGTTTCAATTCTTCTCCTTTTTATAGCATCACCACACTACGTTGCTCGCCACGCACCCGACTTTGGTACGTGTTCATCATCCTCCAACAATACTAGCACACCGCCAATCGACTTGAACAAACGAGCCAATGCTAGGTTGTTTACTCAAAGTCGGCCGTGTACGAGAAGCCTCTGAACTCTTCTTGCATGGCTTGAGAGAGGACTATACAAACGGACAGGGTTAGTTACGAGAAAGTTGCCTAGTTGGGTTCAGATGTGATCAAACTTACCTGACTGAACGGGTGTGAGCACCGGAGTGACACTAGTAAACTCGCTATCGAAGTTGCTCGTATCCGTCGCGCTCTTGATCTGGGGCAGGAAGGGCGGCTGCACCCGCTTGTGGTAGATGTCGTCCCAGTTGATGTTCCTGAAGAAGGGCTGCGACATGATCTCCTGGGCGTCGGTTGGGCCGCTACCCAGACGCTGGTCAGGCTCGCGCGTGAGGAGCTTCTGCAGAATCGACACGCTGTCTCTGGGCATGTGAATAGGGTAAAGCGGCTCGTCGGCCAGAATGGCATCGTAGATTTCGTCCTCGTCTTCACCACGGAATGGGGACTGCTGGAGAAGCATCTGATAGATCAGAACGCCAAATGCCCACCAGTCAACCGCCCTGCCGTACTTCTTGTCCAGGAGAATCTCGGGCGCCATAAATTCGGGAGTACCGCAGAAGGTGCTCGTGGTCGAACCGTACCACATGTCCTCCTTGCACAGACCGTAGTCGGCAATCTTGATGTGTCCGTCAAGAGTCAAGAGAATGTTGTCGAGCTTCAGATCACGATAGATGACACCGTTCTCGTGGAAATACTTGAGTGCCAAGCAGACCTCAGCGGCGTAGAATCTGGAACGAGTTAGTCACTGCTGTAACTCCAAAAGATATACAGAAGAACTTACTGAGCACGCTTGGTGCCAAACATTCCACGCTGAATGTGCAACATCAAATCACCACCGCTGATATACTCCATGACAAAGTAGACCCTTGTCTCAGTCTGGAAGCAGGCATGGAGGTTTGTCAGGAAGGGGTGACGCTCGCGGTTGGCAATCAGGAAGACGCGCTTCTCCGACCTGATGCTTTCCACTTCGTCATTCTCGATGATAAACTCCTTCTTCAACACCTTGATGGCATACAACTTCCGGCTCTTCTTGGTCTCCGCAAGCATGACCTTGCCGAAGTTACCCTTACCAAGCACAGCGAGGAAGTTGAAATGGTCGAGACCGATTCTCATACCCGTGCCGGGGTCAGTGGCCGATGGTAGCGGCTTCTTAGTCGGAACTGGCACTCCGGAGGCGGACGGTACCACCTGGTTATCATAGGATGGCGCCACAGGCTGAGGCTTGCTAATAGGCGTCTGAGGATTCTGCTGATACATTGGTGAGACCTGCTGAGATGTCTGTTGTTGCTGCTGCTGTTGCTGTTGGGGACGAGCCTGAGGTGGGCTTGAGTAGGCGTCGATGTTGGCATAGTCCGCCGGGTTATACTTCCGTTGCTGCGGCGAGCCATATCCCTGCTGCTGCTGGGCGGAGTACTCGTCGTCCCGAGAATCCGGTCGTCCATAGCCCGGGGAACCACCAAAGTCGGGTATCGAACCGGCTTGCGAAGGCTGAGAGCTATGCTTTGGTGCCATGGCCGCAGCCGCAGCCGCCGAGGCGGTTGTTGAGCTGGTAGAGGTCCTGTCGGGGCCACCTGGCCTGGGCGTTGTCTGGCTGTACATGAGCTTGGCAGCCTCAGTTGCCTCAGGCGAAGCGATTGACGTATACGCAGTCGAACCGCTATACGTCGATGTCTGAGCGATCGATCCGGACGAGATGGAAGTTTTGCTTCCCGGCCTAAGAGTACGCTCACTCATCGAGGACGCCTTATCCTTATGAGTCTTCTTCTGCGTTCGCATACCCTCCAAGATCTGGTTGGCGACAGCCATGGACATGCCACAGAAGTCAGGAACAAGATGCACGCATTGCGCGTGGGCTGTAAGAGCACATTCTGTCATAATTGTCAGCATATCAGCCTCCAACACAGGGGCGAACTAAACATACCTGAGCATTTCCTCGAGTTCTTCTTGGATCCAATTGGTAGCATGTAACCGCAATGGCAGCACCAGTTGGCGGTAAGGTTGGAGAAAGGAATGAAGCGATGGGGGATGCGGTGATTGATCTTTTCCTCGTCAGGATCAGTCTCGGCATTACTCTTGCTGATACACTTGGTGACAACGCTGGTGTAGCACTTGGTGTGGCAAGTGTACTTGCAATCCTCGCACTGCATACCAGCGGAGTACTTGAGGAAATCGCCGCATAGCGCACAGCGCATAATGTTGTAGAACTGCTTCTGGACAAACTTGTGTCCATACATCTCGTGGACTTCCTCCTTGCGCTGGCGGACGGCACCCTTGCGACCCAGCCTGTCCATGCCCTGAGGACGAGCCCCCTTGATGAAGTTGAAACTGAGGTGGATCTGGCCATAAGGCTCCAGGTTGAACCAACCGTCTACAGGCTGTGAAACAACTTGGGATGGCGGAGGCGCCTGGGGTGGAATCATGGTGTTTTGCTCCTGTGATCCAGGGGATGTTGGCGGTGCCGCAAACTGAGGACTCTGGGCGCCCATTGGGAATTGCGGCGGAGGAGCTCTGGAGCCAACGCGGTCTGCCGAAACCCAACCTGCGGACGTCATTTCGGCTTCGATCTTCTTTCGGCGAAGTTCCTCAACGATGTCCGAAATTCGGACCCAGAGCATGGCGATAGGCACGGGATGCTCGGCGGGCTTATCATAAACCGTAAACTCGATTTCGTTCGTCTTATCGACCGGGAAAGTGTGGAATTCGGCTTCCCACTTGTCGTTTCGCGAAGGCTTCGTGCGCGCAACAACTATATCTTCGGCCTTAACGGCGATGAATGTTTCGGGGGAGCGAGCGAAACGACCGAGGGGCGCATGGTCGACATCCTTTACAGCCAGAATACGAATAGAAAGAGTACCGCTCAGGGGTTTCCTAAGGGCTGGCAGGTTGATGCTGTCGTCTATAGTTGAAATAAAAATTAGTAAAAGGAGTACTGGTGAAAGCAGCATGGGGGGAAGGATTCTACCATCTGGACCATCAACATCAATGTCGATGTGCAACTCTTCATATCTCTTGAGTGCCTGCTTCAAGAGGACAATCTTTTGTTTACTTTCGACCCGTTTGGCGGCAGCGTCAAGCTTGCTCTTCTTATCACCTTCCATCTGATAGAGCTGCACCATCTTCTCAATGCCCTTTAGGTACTGTTCTTCCACGTTGAGCTTGAACTGAATTTGGGACAACATCAGCTGGATGCGAGGTCCAAGATGTGGGGTATCGAACTTGATTAGATCTGTAGTTCCCTCAACGTCAGTTACACGGAATATATCTAAAAAGGAGACTGGTCCAAGGAAGATGTTCAACTTACCGAGCCTCGTGTAATTAGGACGCGCCCGCGGAACAGTAGAATCAGGAGGACCACCGGGATAAGGAGCAGAGGTGGGCATCAGAGGACCGCTGCCCTGACTCTGGTGAGAGCTGTGGCCGCGTACGTCCTCCTTGGGAGGAGGAGAGGGGGCGCCGTAGCCCTCGAAGTCGTCGACGGACTGTCGGTGGGAGCCGGACATTGGGCTGGCACCGAGCGACATGTTGTCGACGCCATGGCCGAGTCTCCTCATCTGCAGTTCGCGCAGCTTCTCCTCGAAAAACTCGAGATTCCTCCTCCCTTCGCGCATCTGGGTGTCGAGCTTGGAGCGGACCTGCTCATTGTTTGTCTGCTGGCGCATGGCCTGCGCAGCATTGATCAGAGCCTTTTCGCGCTCGATCTTCTTGGAGATGTCGTGGACCTTGTCTTCGTCGTTCATGGTGGCGGTATTGGGCCCGGCGGACCGATGGCGACGGTGGGAGATGGATCACTTGGAGAGGATGAAAGGTAAAGATGCTCCTGGCAATACTAATGTCCGACGGTGACGGTGTCGGAGTCGGTGTCGGCTGTGGGAGAGCGGGGGAGGGGGGGAGGAGGGAGAGGGAGGACGACGGGATGTGATCCGGACGACTAAAATGCTGCTGGCATGCCAGTATGACATGCAACGGATGCGTCGTGGTGGTTGTTGATGGACGGTTGAGCACTTCCCGGGTGGAAGGCGAGGCGAGCCAGGAAGGCAACTTGGCAGCGAGGACGGATAAGGAGGTCCAGCCAGGAGGGATGGATGGAGGTCGAGGGTACCTCTAGGTGCTATGGACACTTTATAAGGCAGACACTGATTGGAGTGCTACGCTGCTGGCCCGGACCTCGGGTAGGTAGGCAGGTAATGGAGGAGAGAGTGGCGGCGGGGCAGCAATTAGCATTAACAGAGAGAAAAGGCGGGTTTTGCCTTTTTCGACTGAACGAGGAGGCTTCAACGTGCAAAGAAGGCTCAGATTAGCAGGTACTGCAGAGAGAGGTATGATGCTAACGATGGCGGGGTTTTGTGTGTTTCGCATAGGTTTGGCGGCGGCGGCCCTTGTCGATTCGACGAGCCAAACAGCCAGTGGGCATCCAGATGGCAGACGACGATGCCTGGTACTGCACGCTGAGCGGTCGAAGTACGCACAGGCAGTTCGGGGCAAAGGCGGGCAGGTCACTTCCTTGTTAGCAACGTCCACTTTTCCCCTTGAAGAGGCGGGGATCGCGTGGTTTTGGTCCAACACTTCAATTTGTCGACTGGACTTCCGGTTCCCAGTCAGGTACCTCGCCCGCTAGGCGTCTTTCATTCTTCAGTATTTCCATTATCAGGTCACCGTTTGTTCTTTGAATTTACGCGCAACGAGCCCATTCCATGCAGTGTTCTTCACCATCCCATCCAAAGGGGGGTGGTTCTTGGGAACTAACAAAAATCTACCATAGCCTCGTCTTGGCATCAGATGGTTCCGAATCGGCGCATTTTCCAACAGTCAACAACACTAACAGCGACGACCCTCTTGGAATGGAACCCTTTTGTTTGCATGTCACGCACAGCTCACACAGACAGACTGTTGGGCAGCCACAGGCAATGACTACCCGAACAGGAGATGGGCACCTCCACACATCGATACCTATACGACACCGTCACGACGGGAGTGGATGGCCTGGTCTGCCTGGTGCGCCGATACCGTACCGTAGGACTGTTGAACTGGTGGTGCAGGGCGCTGGTAGGACTTCCCTTCCGCACTTGGGACATGGGATTGGAAGCCCGGAGACCGAGGGGTGTCAGTGGGCGCAGTATCGAAACGGGTGCGTGCACAAGAGTTCAGTTGGTGGCGCACCTTGAACCGCTTGAGTTTGGAGGGCTGTGATTGGGCATACCGAATCACACTTTGGGGACCTTGATCACGCAGTCGACTTTCTTTCACCACAGTCATTTAAGTGAACGAACATGCTGTTAACAGTTCACCCTCGAAAGGTTTGTTAGCATGGCAATTTCAAAGTCTTTCACCACTTTCAAGATGGCTAGAGGCAGGCGCCATTCCTGCTTATTGCTCGCTACAAGTACAGTTTTCGTTCGATATGTATGGGACACCATTGATTGTTGTTCATAGCTACCTGACTCTAGCTCGGTTTGGACCAATAGAACCGCCGGAAAATCATGTCCTCTTTCTGCCTTGTCAGAAGACGTTGTAAGTTTCGCACTAACAACTCTCAAAGGTTGGTCTGTATATAGGCCTCACATGTTAACCGCCTGACTTTTGAAAACACCATCACCCGAAAAGTCCTGATGTGCAAGTATTTAGGCAATGATGACGGCGACTTGAGACAGAGGAGACAAACCCCATTTGGAGTCTCGACAGGAAAGGCGGTCACGGTGTGCCCATCCATGTCTTAGGATGCATACCTACACTACACTAATGTGATGGGTTGCGGGTTAGGGATAAATAAGCTGGAAATTGTCTAAGCCGAAGAAGCTGGATTTTCGTCCCAAGACCCGACTGGTTTCCTACCCGAATGACACAGTAGAGATTCGATACTTGTAGTGAACGAAGCTTTGGAAAATCATGACTGAAGTCAGGTCTGAGAATGCAGGGATGTAGGACCCTAGGGTTGGGCCAACCAGCCGGTTTATAAACCGGAAAGAGTTGTAGACGAGGAGTTCGAATATCAAGAGTCCCGTCAACTTTCCATCGGCTTCGTCCTCGGTTATCCTCGAGTGGAATCACTTTGAAGACTAGTTGCGCGCGCCAAAGGCATGTCAGTGTCCGTAGGCACATATCGCAGGATGGATGACAGCAAACGAGCGTCAGGTAAGTACTTGTTGCATGTGTTGACGGGTGATAACAGCATTGTGGATGTTGGGTTCGATCAAAGTCCCATGTCTCATGGACATTGCCAGCCAGATCAATGTACGACGGACCATCGCATCTCGCACGGCTCCCAGGTCATGTAAAGAAAACCGAAAAATCAAGAAAATCAGAAAGAAACCGGAATGAGTGACCGAAAAAAAATGGCTTGCTGAATATTCTAGATCATGACAAGGTGCTTCCTGCCCCTTTTGAAATTCGGCATCCCCTTAACTCCATGATATCATAACCAATATGTACATGCACACCCTTATATAACACTACCATCAAAACACACATCGACAGTCAACCCGCTATCTTAAGCAGTGTACTGCTTCTGGAGGGTCTTGGCAATAGTGTTGAGCTGGATGTTGCTGGTACCCTCGTAAATGGCACCGATCTTGCTGTCACGGAAGAACTTTTCAGCAAGACCCTCACGGACGAAGCCCATGCCACCCATCCACTCGACAGCGAGACCGGAGACGCGGCCGGCAACCTGGGAAGCGTAGAGCTTGGCCATAGCGGCATCCATGACGAAATCCTCGCCGGCCTCCTTCTTTCGGGCGGCGTTGTAGACGAGCGCGCGCGCGGCGGCGATCTCGGTGTAGGACTGGGCGATCTGGTGCTGCATGCCCTGGAACTCGCCGACGAGCTGGCCGAACTGCTTGCGGTCGTTCCACACGTACTTGACCGCGTTCTCCCACGCACCGAGCGCGAGACCGGTCATCTGGGCGCCGATGCCGATGCGGCCCTCGTTGAGGATGCCAATGGCGTACTTGTAGCCCTCGCCGACCTTGCCGAGAATGTTCTCCTTGGGGACCTCGACGTCGTCAAAGTTGAGCACGCACGTGCTGGAGGCCTTGATGCCGAGCTTCTTCTCCTTCTTGGCGATGCTGAAGCCCTTCATGCCCTTCTCGACGATGAAGGCGGTAATACCGCGGTAGCCCTTGCTGGGGTCGACATTGGCGAAGACAATAAAGAAGTCGGCCTCCATACTGTTGGTGATCCACATCTTGCTGCCGTTGATCTTGTAGCCGTTCTCGGTCTCGACGGCGCGGGTGGCGAGGGCAAAGGCATCAGAGCCGGAGACGGGCTCGGACAAGCAGAAGGAACCGACGGTGTTGGTGGCCAGCTTGGGGAGGTACTTCTTCTTGAGCGCCTCGCTACCCCAGCGAATGACGGCGGTATTGACAAGGGTGTTGTGGACGTCAACCATGACGGATACCGAGGGGTCGATGCGGGCGAGCTCCTCAATACAAACAATGGCGGCGGTGAAGTTCATGCCGGCACCGCCGTATTCCTCGGGAATCTCGACACCCATAATACCCTGCTCGAAAAGCTGCTCGACAATGGCGGGGTCCATAGCCTCGGCCTCATCCATATCGCGAACCTTGGGGAGAATGACATCGTTGGCAAACTTCTGGACAGTCTCGGCCATGGCGGTCTCAACCTCGGAGAAGTGGGTGATGGGGGTTGGCGGCAGATCGGTCATGTCCCGGCGAGGGGAGGTGGTGGAAAGAGTGCGAGCGCTGTATCGGGAAACCAAGTATTAGCATATCGCCTTCTCCCTCTTCCAGCCCATCTCTTTCGAGACCAGACCAGGCATGAGACGAGATGGCAAAACTTACCATTGGACGACAGGAGTTCTGGAAAGTCTGGGAGCGGAAACAGCCTGAGCCCTGCGGACGGCGGGACGCAAAACCCTAGTGAACGACTTCATTGTGGCTGGTGCGTGTGTGTTTTGATTAAAGAACCGATCGGAAACCTGGCGCGAGTGCTGTCTAAGAAGAACGAAGAGGATAGAAATAATGGAAGAATAGAAGGCGGAAAGGGTATCAAATGCTTGGGGAAGGAGAACTGGAGGTGTGATGGAACGAGCTTCGGGTACTTATAAGTCGCGGGACACGGTACAGCGGAGCTAACACTAACGACCAGATGAAAGATGTACTTATGTAGCTCCGTAACGATGATCCGTGGAGTATTGGATGGAAGGCAACAATGACAGCGTGGGCTCAAAATAAGGTGAAGAGAGTCCCGACTTCTCTTGACCTTTGCATCGTATGCATCTCCTACACCTTCGATGTGTCAAACCTGTCACTATGCATTCAATATACAGAACAGATCATTATCGCAGAAGCCCACGCGGTATTCGAGGAGATAGGTGCGTACACCTTGATAGCAGGATACCTACGGGCAACCGGGACAAGAGCTCTGCTGTTAGCTCTCTCCATCCCTCTCTCTCTCAGTAGTGTAATTCAAAAGCCAAGCCAGCGGGTAACAAAGGTCAATGGCATTGGCCGGCACACGGCCGATATGCTGTGAACAGCTGGGTCAAGTGTCTCCCCTCTGCCGAGGTAAGTTCTCCACCATTCACAAAGCTCCGAACCGGTCCTGCTCAGAGGTCATTTTCCCCACAAAGATTTTCTTGGCCGGGGTAAACGGTGGCCACGACAGGGATGCATTTGGGGGAGACACGGTAGAGACGGGACATCGGAGGAGGGGCACTCTCTCTCTCGAATGGACCTTGATGATGGCCGGGCACGGGGCGCGGCGAGCGGTGACCATTGTTGCTGGATCGTGGATCGTGGATCGTGAATCGCAAATCATGGATCGTGAACGAGAAGGGAAAACAGAGCCAGACGAGCGATACAAATGGAATGACGAGGTGCCAACGAACGAGTTCAATGAAACGAACGGGAATGGAAAACAAATGCCATGTGACTGTCAGTTTGTCGCAGGCTCACAGCTAACCGATGATTGCCGCACACGAGCTTTACCCAATGGCTTCCGTCCCTCCCTCGAGCAGTGCTTACCTCTAGGTACGTACCTTCTTGGTCCAGCTTATCTCCACGTGCCTCATCCCGTGACGCAAAAAAGTTCCCACACTGGTACCGCCCGCCGCCGCCGGCCCTGCGTGCGCCTGCCGGGCCTGGGGAACCGCTATCCCGTACTGTACCGCGTCCTGTTGCGCGCCGCGACCGACCGAACTTGACGATTTCGGAGCCGGGTTCGTTGTTCATCCCGCCATCAGCAAGATCCACAAGATCACAAGATGGCGACGACTTTCTTGCGGAACTTGTTTTCGCAGGCGCAGCCGTCGCTGCTACGGCGGCCGCTGATGCCATCGTCCTCTTCCATCCTTCCTGCTGCTGCGCGGTTGTTCTCCAGCACTCCGGCGCAGAATGCCACTCTTAACCAGGTCATGAGGGTAAGTGATGATGAGGCTATCCCCAACCCGCCTACCTACCTACCTACCTACCTATGTACCTATCACCACTTTGGTTCCCATGCTACTACCACAGCCCTACGTCCTGTGTCCAATTCAATCCGATCAAAAGCTAACCACTCTTATCTTCATTTCTCCAGGGTTGCCGTAAGCCCCAACGTGCCCGCCACGCCGTCTCCCCTGCCCTGTCCTCCATCAAATCTCCCGCGCTCAAGGGTGTGTGTGTCAAAGTCGGCATCACGCGTCCCAAGAAGCCCAACTCGGGCGAACGCAAGACTGCCCGTGTCCGTCTTTCCACGGGTAAGGTCATCACGGCCTACATCCCCGGCGAGGGCCACAACATCTCGCAGCACAGTGTCGTGCTCGTGCGTGGCGGTAGAGCCCAGGATTGTCCTGGTGTGAGGTATCATCTTGTTAGAGGTGCTTTGGATTTGGTAAGTCTTTCCCTGAGAAGAAAAATCCCTAGTATGGAGACCCCTGGATGGAGGGAGGGAGAGAAGGAGGAAAGAAAAGGGGAAGATGGGTGTTTAGTTGGTGAAAATGATGTGCTGACAAAGGATGGTGATAAAACAGGCCGGTGTTGCTACTCGTATGTCTAGTCGTAGCAAGTACGGTACCAAGAAGCCCAAGAAGGCCTCTGTTGGTTAAGCAGCTAGCACAACAGAGCACAATTGAGATGATACCCCCCTGGTTACATGGCAATAGGATGGAGATGATGTGATGTGAGCGTGGTGGAGGTGGTTAAGCTTCATCCATGTAGTTCATCATTCCGCATCCTAAACTATGTGTCCGTGTACTATAAGGAAATAAAAGGTGCATGACAGGATATCGGCTTCCATATTCCTTGTATTACGACTGTCGAAGACTGCCCATATTCAACTTGTTACAACACCGAAGACAAAATAATGGATCGACTGGCAGCTTCGGGGAAGGACGGAGACACTAGACCAACCGTTTTGCTGTCAACTTGCCTTTTCACACCTGGCAATACCAGGGTTATCTCAGCAGTAACAACCTAACACTAAGTGATTGTGTTATGATTTCCTTAACGCCCCTTATAGCCCTTCCCTGTCCATCAAAACGCACAGAAAACGCAGCTTCGTTTTTGCCCAGCCTTTCCCATTTATAGGTCCATGTTTCTAGGCAATTGGGTTGTACCACCAATTGAGAACGAAAAAGTCATTATAACGATAATACATTCTAGGGAATGTCCGCTTTTGTTTTTATTTGCAGACCTGTTTCCCCAACATAAAGCCTTAATCCCCACACCCTCAGAACTGTTTCTTCTTCGCCTCCTTCTAATCTGACTGGTCTTGCCAGCCCTCTGGCTTCGGAAGACCATTAAGCTCGTAGTACCTCGAAGTGCCTGATAAGTGATTGGGGTCAGTCGACGGCTCAGTAAGAGAAGGGAACTTCCGGGTAAGGCTTACAAGAATACCCCTTCCAGTCAAAGTTCTCCTTGGGGTTGCAGTGACACTTGCGGTCGAGACGGAACTGCTCTCCAGTGGGGCAGTGAGTGAAGGGAACGTGATAGTAGGCAATGTCATTGAAGAAGTGAATCTCCTCCTTCTTCAACATCAAGCCGGCGGCAATAGAGTGGACCGGAGCATCACCCCAGCGCTCATAAAAGAAACCACCATCCTGATCCAGAGACTCGAAGTAGTCGGTGTAGGCCTTGGAGCGAAGCCAGTTGAGGCTACCAATCTCGAAGTTGGACCACTATAATGTTGTTAGACTAAACTTGTCACAAGCTGTGAATCCTCACGGAGAATACTTACAAAGTGGCACTTGTTGTAGGTCTTGCCACCATCGTCACTGAGGAAAGCCATGGAGTTGCCCTCAGCAATGTGTTCGGGGTGGTTCTTGATGAACTTGGTAACGCTGTCCCAGAGGGTCGGGATAGTCTCGAAGTACTCGTAAAGGCTGAGCACGAAGCTGTACTTCTTGTTGTTCTCGTGCATGAAGCGGAAAGGATCGTAGTGGATGTCGCAGTGGAACTCGACGCTCGGCTCGACGCGCCAGTAGTAGTCGTAGTTCATCATGAGGGGCTGGCGGAAGAAGAAGCCGGACTCAAAACGGCACATGTGGCGGTAGCTGATACTGTCACCGTAAATGATCTTGCGCTGTCTCATGTCCTCGCGAACCTTTTTGGCCTTCTCCTGGTCGATGTGAGGCGGGAACGACCAGTGCTCGGTCGGAATCTCGCCATAGTACGTCTTGCCGGAGACAAGCGAGGAGGTAACCTTCTTGAAGGTTTCGTCAAACGGCTTGTCGTTGAGGAAGACCCAGTCGTAGTTGTAGCGGCGGTTGAAACGGTCCTCGACTGAGCGGATCGACTTTGCAATTTCCCATACATCGGCGTTGCGAGCCAAGGTGACAAAGGTCGCGTTCATGCGAGGGCCGCCCTTAACGCCAGATAAGTCGTTCCAGCCCGGGTCATTCGGAGTCATGGCCAACGGGTACTGGGCAGGATCGTAGTCGGCGCCATTGCTCTTAGTGGGTGTCTTCTCATCGTGGGCAACTTCGGTGGTGCCTCCGGTGGTACTTCCGGTAGTACTTCCAGTCGATGGCTTCGAGTTTCCGGTGGATTGTTGGAATTTGCCAAAGTTATCTTTTAGGGGGGTCACGACGGATGTCGGGGTAGAGATGAAGTAAAGAACGGCGATAACCTAACGTCATGGTTAGTGGGGTACCGGGAAAGCGAACAGGTACTGTTAAGTGCAGAGCATTGAGCCAAGAAGAGTACCAGAGATGATCAGACTTACAAAAAAGGCAAGGAGGATGTAGCGCACGTAGCGTGCGCTGCCCGCCGCCATGTTGAAGGAATATGGACTAAAACGAGCCCAAAGTTAAAGTTTGTCGAGTGCAGTGGTGATTGTGTTTCCGAACGTTCGTGTTCACAGGTCCTGTGGGACAGGATGGACAACGGCTGAAGGCGAGCCACGGAAGGAAGCGACCCGAATCCCTCGTGAATCGCTGCTGCACGACAAGTCTTGAAATGTCCGGATCCCGGGGAGATGTCCGAGATGGAACTGCAGATGGCGTATACGGCCTCGGTGGTTGAAAGAGACAAATCAACCAGGAGAGAAGATGGCCAGACCTGGATCCTGAAAAAGAAGTGCAGTTGAAGGAGGAAGAAGTTCCCTTGGAGGCGGGACGGGAGCCAAGTGTTGTTAGCTGTCAGGGTTCGAAGGCTCGGGCGCAGTCCTGCTAGGGCAGCCCACTGCAGCTTCGTATTGCCTGGTATTGTATGGATATAATGCGGAGGTTTGCAGGCACACTAATTGGTAGAGGTACCTAGAGGGGTGCCACGTCCGCGTATGCAAAGGGGTACCCGGGCCGTTGGTTGAGAAGAGTCTGGCACTTTTCTAGACTTTCAATACCCCTGGATACTTTTTTCTGATACTTGGGGACTTGGATATTAGAGGAATGTCTAGCATGGAGATGCTGGTATCTCAAGTGTTGTTCATGTTTCGGCCTCTCTAGTTAGGTACGAACCAGCCTGTAATGAAAACATTCCAAAAATGTCGGTATCTACAACATCTTCAGCAACGTCCGCAAGTGGCCTGAATAATGTCTACATACCGGAAGCTATCGCATTCCATCCCCGTTCCTGATGGTCGCTTGCGGTGCATTCCCCTGAGCACCTCAATGTTTCCGTCCGGCCAGGACCAAAAGATTGGCCGCGGGGGTAGGCGGCAGGGAAAGACATTAGGGTGCCCTCGGTGCCCCCACAGCTTCGTCGTCACCTGTATCCGCAGGTACCCCATTATTGCGGGCCGTGACGGTTCTAGCGTGGCCTTGTTAGTAAGGGACAAAAACCCCCTTGAGACGGGAGTCGTCAACTTCCAGGGGCACTGCCCACAACCACTTCAGTTCACATGTCGCATCCGTCAACGGAGGGGTATGTCTTGAGCTGCTTGATCTTTTTACCATGCTGAGAAGTGGCCGATTAGCTCTTACCATGACATTTTGGTTAATATGATCTGCTGCCGGCCTGCTCCTTCCGCATTGCTCCTCCGATCGGAGTAGTTCTTCAAGATGGCGAAGAACACTTGAGTCGTGGCCGGGCATGATACCTCCCTCTCAAAAGGAACAACAGGGAAATACTAGGCCCCTGATACAATTCGACTGCATACTATGTACAGTACAGTCACCTGTCAAGAAAACAGCCTCAAGATAGCCATGCCATGTTTGCCTCCGTCCATGTCCGCGCTTCCGCTTGACCTGCATCGGAATGGCGAATTCGCATAGGTAGAAGCACTGTCTGAACAGCTGCGTTTAGTCGCGGATGTCACGGCAGAAGAATGGATGCCTGAGCTACTGTCCTTGTCCTTCAGCTTTCTTGCCAAAATCGATATCTCGAGCTTGAAATTTGGTTGTCGGCTTGGCGTTAAATTATGATGTTGACCATGAGGTTGCCGTCCCGTCCGGGTCTCATGTTGTAGCCTTCTATCGATCACTGTTACGCATCACCCAGGTCTTCAAATCCAATTAGCGGGCGGGTATCGCCGATTGGCTCATCGGATAAACGACTTGCAAGACTGGAAGGATGGAATGGACGGGCATTCTTGCGGTTGAGGATCCCACAGCCCGGCAGGCAATGGGCCTCTGGTTGCCGCCCAACCGTGGCAATCACTCCCCCGGCCGCGGCCTTGGGAGTCCCATCGTCAGTCAACAGGCACCGGCAAGGCAGGAGGGTGGTGTGTCAAAGCGTCAGGCCTACCGCCGCCCGCCCACCTCGGGCTGTTGGCTCCATTGGCCCTCGGGGGCGATTGGCCCACAGCTCCCTAATCTGGCTTCAGTTCTGAGTTGGAGTTGGCCTGACTTCATCCATCTCCGTTGGTCTCTTGTCGCCTTTTGCGCTGCCATCAAGCTACCACTCCGAGCAACCGCATCCACCTCTTCACCGCGGCGCACCCAGTTGCGCTTTCGGTCGTTAGTTCACAACCTTCTTTGCTTCTCTGTTTTAATATTTCCAGCCTGAGCGCTGAGTGTTTGTTGCCGCCCTGACAAGCTCTGCTCCGCTCCTTTGCACGAGTCGCACCGCCGTCGACACGTCTCCTTTCCCTTCACGTCGCGCATCGCAGCATCATGGTGCTTGACCAAACCGATCATACCAACATCTTTACATATCGTTCTGTATGTTGTTCTTTCTTTCCTCTACAGCGTGCTTGCAGCCTCAGGTTGGCAAGGTCATGGGATGAAAGTTGGGCTCCCATGTCCCAATTCTCGATCTTGTTGTTGTTGTTGCCCCGCGCTTCAAGAGACAGCTCACCACCCTCAGCTAGTGGAACATCCATCGAGTCGCCCCTCTGCTTGGCTCGGGATGTTTGAAGACTAGTGTAGACCTTCAAGCCCTGCCTGTTCCCCCTTTCACCCAGAACTTCGTGAACCTGCGTCACGGCTGTTCCTTCTCTATACTTTTCGTCCCTCTCACCAACCAGGGTCTTGTCTTTTCCCTTGCTTTCTTTGCCCCTCATTTTCCTCTGTGCCCTTGCCAATCAGCCAAAGCTCAACATCGCGCCCCGATTTGCGCCGCAACGATCTTTCTTCGTTCAACGTATACTGACCCTACAATAGTGATACCTCCATAGAATTTCCCCATAAACCCAACAAGCATCGCCAACATGTCCTTCTTCAACTTCGACCAATCTCGCCATAATACCGCCGCTCCCGGCTTCTCCCAGGCTCACGATCCCTTTGCCAGCCTAGCCAACCGGGACGAGGAAGCCGAAGAGATCGATTTCGAGGATACTTATGACGGCTTGGGTGACCAGCTGGATGAGACCGACGATGCCTTCAATGATGATACTTTTGGTGGCGATACTGGCGAGCCGGGTCCTGTAGGCAAAGACTTTGACTTCTTTGGCCAGACCGCCAAGGTCGCGAACGTCATTGAAGAGGAAAATGTTCGTTTCAACCGCCAACAACCAGCTGCCAAGGCTCCCCAGCCTGTCGCGCAGCCATCGGCCTATACGTCCATCGCCGGACCCTCGTACAACTATTTCGCGCAGGCTCCAGGTAGACCTGCCAGGACCGGCTATGAAAAATACCACGAGCAGCCGATTGAGGATCTTCAGGTTGACGCTGCTCTCTGGGGTGTCGCACCCAAGAAGCAACCGCCGCCGCCTGCTCAACCTGCCGTTCCTAGCGCGCCGTCTGGGGGCCGCAAGATGCTGAGTCTCGAGGAGGTTGAGGCTCAGATGCGCGCCCAGGCTAAGGCGGCCACCCCATCTCCCGCTCCTCAGCATCAGCCCCATCAAATTCCACATGAACAGGCTTACCTCTACCAGCACCAAGCTCAGAACCAGCCGCAGGCCCACTTCCAAGCCGGTGTCGTTGAACCTCTGTACCATCAACCGCAAGGACATCCCATGACAATTCTCCAGCGGCCTCACTCGAAACCTCCTACGCCAGCTCAACCCTCTTCCCAACCGCCCGCTATCCAACAGCATCAGCAACCCGCTGTTCCTCAGCAGCCTACTCAGATCCTGCAGAACCCCAACCGTCTTTCAGGCGACGCGGCTAAGATCGGGCTGCCTGTTCACCCTACGCCTCCGTCCGGTCCTCAGTCCGCTCACCAGGGCCACAGGCAACAAGGCTCTCTTCCGCGACAGCCCCCTATGATTCTTCATCCTGCCCAGCTGGCTCAGCTCTCGGAGGAGGAAAAGGCTGCGTATCTTGAACAGGAAGCTAAGCGCGCCAAGCGCAACCACAAGATCTTCCAAATGTCTCGCGACAATGGTATCATGACGCCACAGGACAAGAACTTCATCACCCGGATCCAGCTTCAGCAGCTTGTTGCAGCCACTGGAAATCCCAATGAACACGGCACAGACGAGTCACTCGCCGAGGACTTTTACTATCAAGTTCATAGTCAGATCCAGGCTGGCCATCGTCAGCACCCCAGCCAGCCTCTGAACCAGTTCGCTCAGACCTATCTGTTTCAGACAGGAAGCCGCCAAGGAGGTATGCGCCGCCATAACAGGGGTCCTGAAAACCATATGCAGAGGATGGAACAACAGGTCCAGCGTGCTGTTGAGGCGGCCAAGAACAAGCCCAAGAATAAGCAGCTTGTTATTGAAGGTAGCTTGGGCAAGATATCCTTCAGCAACGCCAAGACCCCGAAGCCGCTTCTCAACATCAAGCGTAACGACAGCGCCAACGATGTGAAGAAGGCACCGCATCCTGTTAATGGCCGGGACAAGAAGGACGAACTGAGGGCCCTCGAGCTGGTATACACTACACTTATGAAGATGGAAGACCACGAACGCAACATGCCTATGGCGCCTGCCGAGGACGATCAAGAAGCGCTTGCCAAGGTCTTTGCATGGAGTAACGAGGGACAAGCATTGAATGAGCAGCTTTGGAAGGCTCTGAGGGTGCAGGATCACGACCAGCCAGGCCGTATCCACCCCTTCATGGCCCTTCTTAGTTACAGCAAGGGCAAGAAAGCCATACCGCGCATCTTCCGTCACACGAACCACGAGCAAAGGATTACCATTTTCACGCGCATTGTCGTGAATCTCGACCAACTCGACGTTGTCCGAGAAGCTCAGGTTACAACTGATGACATCCAGTTCAACGCCGCTATGCGTGAGAACATCGAGCTGTTCTCGGCTGCTATAGTAACCACGTTGTTTACGTTTATGAACGAACTCGGCCTTGATCTTGTTGCCGCCATCCTTGGTCTTGTGTGCACGCGCAACGTGGACGTCATCGCCAAGAGCAGAATTGGCGCGTCGATGCTTACCATGATTCTCAGTCGGGCGGAGCTTATCAAGCATAATGGCGGAGGCAGTGAACAGGATTGGCGTTCTTGGTAAGTTCCTCTATATTCATGGTTTCATGAGAGATGAATCAGATGCTAATCATTTCCACAGGGACATGACCTACACTCAGTTCTTCAACATCCTCGAGCCCACTCTTCCGTACATTTTCCCTGGTAGCATTGCCACCGATCAGGATACCTACGTCTGGCAGCTTCTCGCCGCTATCGGTATTGGTGCCAGCCCTGACCAGCAGCAAAGACTTGTCATTGCTGTCAAGGATCGTGTCATGGACACCGTCAGCCTCGCCAAGACCTTGCCTCCAGCACTCGCAGCCGACCGTCTGCAGAACGTCAACCTCTTCATGCGGTCGATCGGCCTCGACGTTGAGCTGCTCCAGTAAGCAACTCGGCAATAACCCTACACACATTGACTTTGAAAGTCCGTTGCAAAAACTATCTGGGCGGGTGGTTTAAGCAACGACGATCATTATTATCATTATCGAAAAAACGGAAAAGTTGCGTAGATTGCATCGCATTTGGTCAGCGATTGTTCTTGAAGAGTCCCTCGCATATATCGAGAGACTCGCTCATACTTTTGAGGCGGATCAAAAAAGCAGCTTGGTGGAGGAACAGGAACCATGTGTATGGGCCATTTCACAAGGAATTGTTTACCTTAATAAACATTTTGGCTTACCTACTACTGGAAGGTAAACTCCTTGGGCGGGAAGCAGGAGGAGTTTCTTCTTACCTACATTGCATCGCTGGGGAAAAGAAAAGAACTTGGCGGTTGGTTTCTATATAACTCGGCATTGCTGTATGGATGGATGGATGGATGGATGGAGACACCTGTAGAATAGGGACCAAAAGAGCGGTCGGTCAGGTTGGGTTTTGCGAGGTCAAACATCATTGATCATTGTTCGCCACACCTGTCACCATAACGATCTGTTTTCAGGGGCAAGCCTGTGAGGAAGAAGGCGGGAAAGAATGGGAGTCAGTCGTAGGGTATCGTATTTTTCTTAAAGATGAGAAGGGAATCTATCAGTTAACCAAAGGGTAGTAGCCGCTGACCCTCTATAATGGGGCTCCCGCTTCGGAAAGGCTCACATATGATATGTGCTCAGCTTTCGCTCCCACTCCCTTTGCCTTTACCGCTTCAAGCGTGAGGTCCTTCTCTTAGCGCCGACAGTCTCTGACTCCTAGTCAAGCTGCATGGCATTCGACGAAGAAGATGTTGCCGCTGCTACCACCTTTCCCTTTCCCTTGCTGTTAACAACCTTGTTCGCCGCAGCCGTGACGGTGGCCTTTTTCGTGCCAAAAACCGAGGGCACCGAAACCGCCTCCTCACCCGGCTTCTTATCATCCGGCCCCAATCCGTTGATCGACCGCAGGATTTGCTCCTCGCCCCAATCCGACTGCAGCCTATTCACTTTCTCAACCAAATCAGGCGCTCCGCTATCATCTATTGGCTCTGCCGCCGCCTCCTCCCCATCCTTCTCTTCCTTCATCTCCTTCTTCTTCTCTTCATCCACCTCATCCTCTGCAACCGGCGCAGCATTAGCAGCCTCGCTCGACCGCAAAAGCATACACTCATTATACGTGTCCCACGCCTCGCCGTGCTCGTCGTGGTACCACTTGAGGTTGTGCCAGGGTTCTGTCTGCACAGCGCGCAAACGGTCCGCCATGGTCTCGGCTGCCGCTCCCGCCGCTCCCGAATCAGACGACTTGATGGACATGTGGATAGCACGCCCCGCGGCCTGCTTGTCGGCGGGACCACCGGCGCCGCCCGCGGCGGAGGGGCCAAGACGAGCAAGCCGTTCTTGCTCGGTGGCGGCGTCAAGGTAGGGGGCTACAGGTCGGAGTTGGACGAGGGAGGTTACTGGGGTCAGATGGAGGTTGTCTGTTGGAGGAAAAGGTGGAGTGTTAGTGAGGATGAACTGGTAATGGGAATGGAGAAGAGGAGGGAAGTTAAACTGGACTCACTTCCTTGAAACACACCAACCATGTGCTTCACGTAATCCTCGCCTGCACTACGACTACCCGTCAACTTCTGGTCGATAACGGCCTTGCCTTGCGCCACAGCCTCAGGCCAGCTCAGATTTTGCGCCTCATCATCGTCTCCTCCTCCAGAATTACCGCCACGCCGTCCACCCGCACCACCACCAGCTCCAGGACCACCACGTGCCGATCCTCCTTGTCCACCAATGTTGAAACCACCGGCCAGACCAAGACTGCCGCCCTTCTTGGACTCCATCGACTTGGCTAGCGCCACACCCCACGCAATACCCTTGTCCTTGTTGTAGCCATCGCTCGTCTCGAGAGGGATGTCGACCTCGTAGATGCCTGTTTCGGGCTTCACGCGGAAGCCGTTGATCCGTGGCGGCTTAATGGAGGACGGGTCTTGGGCGGTCTTGGTGACGTAGCGGAGGACGACGAGCTTGCGGTCTTGGGGGAGGGGAGGCTTGATGAAGACGTTGTAGGTGGCGACGATGGGGTCGTCTTCTACGTCGGGTTTTGTGGTTGTTGGTTGGGGAGGTGCCATGGCGGGCTTCCTGGCTGGTGTGGAAAAAAAAAGTTGGAGCTTTGTCGCCGTCTGCTCGGCGAGGTGAGGAAGAGGTGATTCCTTCAGAGTGGTTGAAGTTCTTTGGAGACGGTCGCGCTAATGATTGCTGTTGCGATAGTAATGGTCGGTGTCGAGTCCAGATGTACAGTCGGTGCAATAGTGATACTGGATAATCTTTGCCTCGATGATTGGTGTTCAAAGTGTTCCGTGAAAGTCTATCTCGTGACTCTCCGAGATCCAAAAGATGCAAGCACCCTCTTTACCTACACGGCTTCTTTGCCTGCCCCGCGACGGCTGCTGGAAAATTTCCAGTTAGAGGCCATTGATAACGGCCAGGATCCCGGCAGGCACGACTTCACAGGAGCAGGGGCTACTGGCGTGCCCCGAGCCCCCGACGCCCCAATTAGCCTCAAAGCCCCCGCAGCAAGTTCACTGGCCCGAGCACCTGCACCACCTCACCCACCCACTGGGCGTTCGTCCCCAACCCACCTGGAGACGCCCTGTTCACGATTCGCGCAGGACCGTTCCATCCATTCCGTTCTGTGGAACGCCCTGGTGTGAGCGGGCTGATGCACCCCAGGATTTGGCTGCTGGTACCTGGAAGGTGCCCCTGGCGCGTTGCACCTTAACTAGGTCGCTCCCCTCCCGTCGTCCACCAATCCTTACCTGTAAACATCATGTCGGCGGGTTAGTTGGGTGGCATTGGATCTCCCACCAGGTCATCATCCCGATCCGCGATCATCGTCGCCCGTTGCTTTTTATTGTTCATCTTATACACCTCTTTTCTTGGGGATTTAAATCTGTCACATGGTTCTGGGACGATCTCAAGTGATATTACATTTCGGTACCTTTCCACTCCGAACACTCAATAGCGGCCAGTGGCCACTCGAATGAGAATGGACGCGGGAGACTGTGTTACCGAGAAGCCATCACATTCACCCCATTGAGTTATATTCGAGATCCCTCATAATAACCCTCCGATAGCGCAGTGGATCTGCGGTCTTACTCCACCAAGTCGAGCAAAAATATAAACAAAACACTCGCAATCTCGATGGTCCTCTTCGAGAAGCTCATTTCGAAGCCGTGGCTCCTTGTGAACGTTGAGACGTCGTCACAACAGGCGGTGAAACGACTTTGATCAAATTTTGACAGGACACTACGGACTTTTCTCCGTGGGTAGTGTGGTGGGGGGATGACCAGAAAAGTCGATCTCGGTCCAGTCATCTGGCGGCACGATGAGGGAAGACAGGCTCATCAAAAGAAGCCCTCCCCCCCTTTTGTTTTTATCTTGGCACGATCTTATCATCAACTCACTTTACTGCTCAGCTCGCCGCTCTTCATCAGCGTGCTATCTCCAACCCACAGACAATGTCCAAGTTCAGAGTCTGACTCGGATTGCGTCTATGGGCTTCCACAATGGAGTAAATGCAAGCAAACCTATCTGCTCGTTGTTTTCCCTTCAGGGCTGGGTTAATTGTATATCCGCGGGGATCCCCTGTGCGCAACAATTCATATCCAGTCCGCCCAGCCACTGAGAGCCCTTTGTTTATGGAGACCAGGACGACGTGATGTTCCTCTCAAGGCAATCTCCGTCTTCACACTGGCATCAGGCCAGGGGGGTTCGAGGAGGATATCTCAGATATCCAGCCTATGTCGATCCGGGCAAGGTCCTAAGCTCCGCGTTATTGACCACAACCGTTCAACTAGCCGTGCACGTTCTTATATCATCCACGACACTGTGTTCTATCCTACACTATTTGCCATGGCCCTGCGGAAATCAGATGATGATCTCTTCTCCTCCTTGATCTCCCACTACTTCCTCTACACTAATACCACTCCTTGCCCTGTTCACCTCGAGCAGTTCCAAGTTTTATCCGCCTATATTTGTGCCCTTCAATTGTTTTACTTTACGCAGAATCAACCAAGGACACCAGAGGGCGTGGTCTTCAGACAGTTCCAAAGACTGAAAAGACACTATACTCTCGGCAGTCACTGGGACCCAGCGGCCCGGCACTTATGCCCAACCAAACCAGCCCAATTGGACCCATCGCGTACCGTCTGGCTGGAACCGATCTCGTTTCAACAACTCCGAATACGGCCAGGTCGGATTAGACGTCGTCGTCAGTTGCCCACAAGCAGTGTAGCATCATTCGCTTGGCCGAGGGAGCTTGTCAGGCAAAAATCCTTGAGCAAGGTGAGAGTCCCAGAGATTCTACTCTGTCATCTTGCAATGATAATATCATGCCGGGGGAGAAAATGAGGTACAGGAATACAAACTAACAAATGACCGAATCCCAAAGTTAGTTGCCCGGACTCGACCTTTCTCCCACTTTTAGGTCGAGACCACCAACCGGAATTGTCCTCATCCGAGAGTTCTGGTCATCCCAATAGCAAAGCCTGATGACCCTCTTGATTCAGTCACATTTGTTTGCCGACCACCGGTGACCCTATTATGTAGAACTCACAACGTGTCAGGTTTCTTGTTACCTTAACCGGAAGAGGCAGTTAAGTATCATACCACTACTCCGCGGAAAACCAATTTCAGAAAGGCGGTCAGCATTCAACATTCTCGCTTTACCTCAGCAATAACACACCTACAAACGCTACCGATCCCTCGAGGCCCAGTTTTCCATTTGTGATAACCTCGATCAGGTCAACCACATTGAGCGGACCAAATTCCGGTTCGTGTGCTCTCCTAATCGGGAACACTGGGAGCTCGCCCGCTAAAAAGCCAATACATCATCGTCATCTCGTCAGGCCCAAGTTAACACCACTTGCTCGCCCCACCCTCTGATCTTGGGATTACCTCGGCCACATACAGAGATCGCTGCCGGGGTGAAGCCAGGTTTCAGGGGCAGGGTAGGGTACCCCTTTAATACAAACCTCGAGTTCGACCCTTCTACCGACCTGTTAGGGTGACCGTGGCGAGAGGTGTGTATCCTTCGCCTTTACCTACAGCTGTTACAGAGTCTCACTTTTGCTCGATGCACCCGTCGTCCCCGGCATGCATGGGAGCAGGTACGGTTCTGAGGCCTATGTGCTGTACAGGTCTGAAGATGAGAACGCGGCAACGCCACCACCCCGCGGATACCGTGTGGATGAAGATTATGGCCCTTCTATGCTTGGAGCAATCTGGACGACATGGTCTATTGCTGTCATTTTTGTCGCCCTGAGGTTTTGGGCGCGGTCCAGGGCTGTTAACGGGCTTGGGGCATCGGATTGGTGCATTCTGTTTTCTCTGGTTGGTTAGAGGCTAAAGATTTTGCCAACAACTTTCTTACCTGCGTTCTGACATATGTCGACAGATGATGGCAGCGGCAATGTCCAGCAGCCAAAGCATTGGTCTGTCAAACACTCTCTAATATGATATCAAGATCGCAAAGCCTAACGAACTCACAGAAATCGCACATGGAATGGGCAAACACATATGGAACGTCGATTATGAAGCCAATTACGTGTTTTTAATGGCGGTAAGTGTAGTTGTCCTAACCCCATATCACTCAGTTACTCATTGCCGCCGCATTGTCAGTGGATCACACTGACCTAGATGTTATAATCTTCATGATAGGGATTCTGGGCTTCCTCCTTGACTTATTTCCTTTCGCTGGCGATGACCAAAATCTCCATCTGCCTGTTATATCTCACCATCTTCACCGTGGAATCGGCACGGAGGGCTACATATGCTGTCCTCGTCATTGTTTGTATTACCAGTGTCTACACGATTATAGTAATCTGCACAGCTTGTGTACCACTGCGAGATTTCTGGGATCCGGCTCAACCTTGGGGCGTTGGATTACCCAAACCAACTTGTCATACAAACCATTGGTACTGGAGCTGCACAGGGTTAGGCTGATTCTTGACCTTAAACTAGTCCAGACTCCTCAAACTGATAAGCTAACGTTTCTTGCCTTTTGGCTTCCCCAGTTTGACAATCACCACGGATTTTCTCATCTTTCTTCTACCCATCCCAATCGTCGGTCCTTTGAAGTTACCCGCGCGACAAAAGGTTTTCGTTGTCGGCATCTTCGCCGTGGGCTTTGTGTAAGTATAAGCATCCCAACCACCACACACTCATGTCCCCTCGGAGACATCATGTACTCACCACACAATCTTTCCCTACCCTACAGTATCTGCATCGTCTCACTCGTCCGCGTCTCCTATCTCTACGCTTCCCAATACACAGCTGTTCATGATATCACCTTCAGCACCGGCAAACTCACCTATTGGACCGCAATTGAAGTCCATACTGCCATCGTCATCGCCTGCGTTATGACCCTGAAGCCTCTCATCGTCCGCTTCTTCCCCGGCTTCCTCGACCCGCGCGCCAACAACAACAGTAGCGGTGAACAAGGCGCCACAGACGAGCCAACCGCCACCAGTAGCGACCCCCCTCTGACGGTAGGCAGAAGACCATGTCGCAACGCGTTTGGGCAGCGTCTCTCATGGATCGAAGTCCCCGATACTAGTGGACAGCAGCAGCAATCAGGCCCAGGGCTAACAACAACGACGGCGGCGGCGGTTGGGGATGCTGCGCTAAGCGAGATACCAGTGAGCGGGAGGGGGCGATACCAACAGTTTTTGAATTCTCCTTTTCTTCCGGCGGCTGGGAGGACACCGACTGATAGCAGGCCGTCATTTGAAATGAAAACCACAACAACGACGACGACGACGATGACAATAATGACCAACTATAACGTTACGACAACCTCGGCAGATTCGATCAAAGCGAATAGCGATACGACTTCTGTGTCTGCGCTGTATCGAGAGGAGGACGTGGATAGCACGACAAACCTCAAGGGTTGTTGTGCGCATGGACAGAGTGATGCTGGTTCGGTACATGAAGTCAAGACCGACCGCTACAATTCCGCAGCGTAATGACTGAGGCATATGGACACCAGCTGCGCTTGTCGAGGCGAATTGTATATATTCAAGGTGTGTATTGTACATATATCATAATGAGAAGTCGAGGAACAAGTAATGAAGGATAACACCGAAGCATTTTTTTTCTTTCCTGTAACATGGCACGGCACTTCAACTCGAGTGGAAATAGCCACCTCCATGTTTTGGTGAGAATTAATCCTGTGTATGAGGGAGGTGGTTCCAATGGGACATCAACAACGACATCAGTATTTCAATAATCAATTCCTTTGATCAGATAGATCCGTTCGTTTCCTTTCTAATTACCTAGGTATGCTTCACCTCTCACCTAACGAGAAAAGCATTACAAAGACAGACAGACTGTCATTCAACGACACCTAAGAAATAGCTCTTCCACACCTCCCCTAGCTTAGCGAAACACTCGTCTTCACGCAACCCACATGTTCTCCCTTCGGGTTTGGTTGACTTCATGAGCTAGAAGTGAGTTCTACGATTGTGTACCGTGCCTCTCCAGACTCAAATGGTAGCTCATTCCTGGGTTGCTGTTCAGATAAGCTGAAACTAAATGCAGTTGTGGCATTCTATGGAAGTTGTTGGCGTAAATAAATAAACCTTATTTCGGCAAGTGTCACTTGTCGTGCAGTGGAAGGAAGGCGCGCTGCTCTCGGAAAGATGGGAATCGTGTCTGAAAGTTTCAGCTTTTGCAAGTATGTAAGTATCTATCTCACTTCTTTCCCTCCCTTAACTCTTCTTGTTCACACTTGAGACGGTTCTATTTGACAAACACCTTTTTGGTACCAATTTTTTGGGGGGCTTCTTTTTTTTACTCAGTGTATGCAGCATATCTTTGGACCAGAATCGCAGAATTTCCAAGTTGGACGGTGATGAGATAAAAAAGAAAAAGAAAAGAAGAGAAAAGCCACAGAGGCAAAAGAAATATAGAAAAAAAAGGAAAAGAAAAAAAGGAAAAAAAGTGAGGGACGAAAAATGAGAAAGATGTGCATTATCTCTTCTATACACACTTATGAACTTGTTTCAACCCTTTTCTCCACTCACCATCAACATATAACGAATGGTTAGTTGCGAGAACAGAAAATGTAATGATAGGAAAGAAGATGGGTGTGGCCTCAAACCCCTGGTCCCTGATGGTCACCGAAAGCCGCCACCACACTTCTTTCCTCCTCCTATGCTTCCCCTACTCCTTCCTGTTGTCCATCACGAGGAGCGCTTGTCTCGCAATATCCCACATCTGATGAACGGAAGGTACAGGAGATCATTTACTCTCCTGAGTGCCTCACAGGTAGTGCTCACGATCTTGGGCGTCCCTTTGTTCTCCCATCCGGTAGTATGTCAGGTTTAGACATCGAGACTCACTTGAACGTAACTTTGGATATTAGTGTTCCCGGCAGACACGTTGTACTTCTCTTTGAGGAATACGTAGGTGATGGTCTCAGTTTTTGACGTCCTTCTAGAGGTAATTGTGACTCATCATAAATAGCGAACCTTGAGGCCAATGTTGTTTTAGGCAAGGACAAGCAATTTTTCAAGTCTTCAGGCTTTCCAAATCTCTTCGAACCTTCTCTGAACGTTGTTTTCGTCATGTATGCTACGCGAGCTCAGCTCTTGATATAGCGAATAGCCAGTCAGGGGTGATGGTCAAGAAGACGTCGTTTATCTCGGATCGTGCGGCATACTCAATGCACCGCGACAGCTGAGTTCGCCTCACCTGATAAATGCGTCTGCCTGTCAGGACCAATTCTCCATGAACTTCCTCTTTGCGGCGCAGATCAGAAAAACATGGTTTAGAACATGTGGAATGATGCTTGCGCCTCGATGCCCCTGCCAAGATTCAAGGCTGACCGGCGCCGTGTAAGACTGCAAGTGCGTGGTTGGGGGCCACTTGCGCCTCCTAGGTCATGTCATTGGGGGTTTGAAGTCTGAGTGTAGTAAGCGGTGCCACAGCCTTGCTCACTCATATCTGAAGCAAAGATGAGGAGACAACAACACCATACGCTTCGATAGATGGAAGTCCATCACTCACCCAATACACCATGATCGAGTTCCGCCGTAACATCCATTGCAACAATACTCCGTGGCCTTACGGAGTCCCAGGTGCCTGGCGCCATGTTCAGCTCGCCCAGCATCTTTATCTTTCTGCTCACATGAGCCTCCCTATATCGACACCTCGAAGGACACCTTCTTACCGTTCTTCATCTTCACACGAGCAGATGCAGTGTCGATAAACAGGTGAAATAACAACCAGGCCTTGACGACGAAACACTTGATTTGTGAACTACCACGCAGGGTCGGGCAGTTGTCAACTTGACCAGCAACGAACTCAACATGGCCGCTTCCGCAAACTCATTGTCCTTCATACTTCAACATCCAACAACGACGGCAAGCTCATCGTTTATGAGCCCTCAGTATCCAACAACGACAACAAGCACTCTCCGAGCCATCGAAACACTCTTAACAATAGCTCATAGAGGCTCTCCAGAGGTTCTGCTTACAGACAGCAGACCTCCACCAAGCCCCACCTCATTCAATCCATCGGTATTGACTCAAGAGTCATGGACCACCAAGATCTCCGGCCTCCCCACGGCCATCGTACCCCTGTCTTCCACGTCCAGCAGCGCAGTATCAAGCACTCACAATACCGCGTCCCTCAACCACGGAACCAGCATAAGCCTGATTCCGCTGCTCAGCCTGTCCGTCGCTGTCATTACGTGGGTTCTGTTTTACATCCTGATCAGCCGACGATGCAGAGCCGGTAGAAGTGTTCCCCGACTATGGCCCTCCTTCTCCATGTTCGCCTTTTCACGAAAAGGTAGGGCCCATTTCACCTTCCAAACCAAGCGCTCAGACAGCCGAACGTCGCTGCTTCCATGCGATCGCCTCGCCGCCGGGGCAGAGCTGGGATACCAAGTAATTTCTCGGGGTAATGGACGCGGTGTGGGACAGGGACAGACAGCCGTCGTGACTTGGGCGCACCCTCCTCCAGTCGAACTTGACGGTCAGGGCATCGGAGACTCGCCGATCCGACCCAACTGGGTCTCGCGAATATCGAGCTTCTTGGTCACGGAGAGGGAAGGAAAAGGGCTTGGATATGGTCAGATGGATTCATCGCTCAGAGCGACACGATCTATCCGTGAGTCGTTTGGCGAGAAGATTAATGACCCTGGGGTAGCCGTGTTAATTCGGGAGCCGAAGAAGACGCTTTCACGGTATTCGAGGGCTATTTCAGAAAAGCCTCTTCCGGAAATCCCCGAGGCGGAGGAAATCGTGCCGCTTAGACTTGGTAGTCCACGAAGGCATTGAGAGGGATTGCATCACGCAATGCTTTCGGGGTCATTGAAGAGTGGAAAGGCAAGCGCGAGGAGTTTAGGGGTCGTTCCGTAATTGCAATCATGATCAGACATGGTGAGGTTGACCGGGAAAGGGACGGGAACCGTCATCAGCGTCGGGGCCATGGGTTTGTCGGATCTCGATTTTAACCAACGTGTTAGAAGGACAAACCCGCGGGGTGTTTGTTACGTTGCTTGCTCGTATTCATTCACCAATTACACGTTATAGCATCGTTATTCGTCAACAATGATATCAATGAGGTCGGTTTGTAATAAAAATGAGTGTGACAAACACACAACAACAACGTCACAGAACTCCGCTGTTAGGGTCGCCAGTTCCACTGAAGCCACCATTGAAAGGGGACCCCTAGACGATCTTTTAGCGGCCGAAGGCGGGAAGGGTGGGGCCACAATCGACAGCCTTACAGTGAGTGGACCGATAAGTCACAGTCCTCCGGCTACGTTACGTAACGTGATACAACTTGCGGCTTCAGTTGAGAAACTCCCCTCATTTGCATCACCACCCATTATGCAATGACATGAATGCTGTCGATTGATTGGATTTTTGTTGGCGAACGAGTGGCGAGCACAGATGCACAATGAGGTGAGGAAGGCAGAATTGATCGACCACCACTTGTGTGGCTTTCCAACTTTATTTAGCCTTCGAAAGCAACAGCTGTCTACGTCAAACCATTCCTGTGTTTTCAAACGAAGAAGATAAATTAGGTGAGTGTGTGTCGCATCCGGCTGTGTTCCGTTCCCCCCTCCCTCCACATTCCAATCTGGAAGTTACTGTTAACTGCAACTGCGACGTTGAAGCGAAAACATTGGGTAGCGACGATAGTTCTTTTTCCTGCCATTTCTTGATACCCAACACGACGAAAACCTCGAGACCTACTTTGACCACTTCCAAACAACACACACCAAAAACCTCAACTTTCACCACCAACCTACCTTCAGTTGTACAACACACAACGAATCATCAACACGCCTCAAACCACCTCTACCATATCAGAACCAACCAACCAACCTAGTAACAACACAACACCCTAAAAAACCTACAAACAACATGTCTTCAACAAAAACCGCCGCCCCTTCCAGCATCATCACCTCCGCTCCCTACTCGGACCTCACCGAAACCCTAACCAAATCACCCACGTCTTCTACCTCCCCCGCCACCACCAGAAGCAAATCGCACTCGCAAAGCTCAACCTCCTCCTCCTCCTCAGACGCCTACGCCCAAAGAGCCATGGACCACACCTCGACCTGGCAACCCAAGCTCGACCGCCGACAGAGCTGGTCGCAGGAGCAGTACAAGCATGAGATGCAGCTGAGGAGCGGATCAACAGGCGGGAGTGTGAGGAAGGTTGGGGAAGAGGGGTTTACTGAGGGGGGACATGGGTATTGAGACCGAGAGAAATTGAGGATGGTGATGATGATGATGATGATGATGATGATGATTGAGGGTGGAAAACGGAGTCCGTCACGATTGAGGGGGGGAACATGATCTCCGACATACCTCTCTCTCTCTCTTTGACTTCGATATCGAAATTGGACAACAAACTTCATGACAAGATGATCTAAGTTCTCGGCACGCGTCACAGTACGGCACGACACAACAAGACACAACGCAACGGAAGTTCGTGGGATGGAAATGGCATTGGATTCAGCATGTTGGCGCATGGGAAGCAGATTGCGAGCGATGAATCGAAATCTGTTAACATATGCCATTGGTCGTACTTTCTTTCTCCCTTTTTTTCCTTCACTTTTACAAAATGGCGACAGAAGTTGGGAAGCACTAGTCACACGAACGAACCCGAATGGTGAGTTGAAGAGGGGAAAACAGGGGAGTGGGGGTCTTGAAATGACGTACTTTGTCCTACTATCATCAGCTCTAACGGCTTTAGGAGGCGCCTGTCTGTATAGTTATTGTAAGATTAAGCATTCTCTACAACACTTGATTACCCACCAATGACAACCAGAAGATGCATCGCAATTGATTCATATTTTACCACGGTTCGCTATCAACGAGAGACTATTCTACATCAAGTATGTGTAGTATGCATGATCCGCGATCCATAATCTTAATTCATCTATGGGTATTCAGTGACCCCATCTATAATGATGATGATGTTGATAAAAGTTGCCCGTTACGAAAAGGGGCATAAGCGACTGCTAAAAAGCCGTGTTAAGAAAGAGAATCGGCAAGGAAATGCCAAAATAAAGAAACCGATCCCTTCGCATGCAAGTTTGGGGGCTTTCCCTCCGTCAGTCGTGTGTATACGCCCTGTCCTCCCTCCATCAGATTCCCCTAAAAGAAAACGCCACTCATGTCGTGTCATGATCATTTACTCCAACAAAAGAAAAAGAAAAGGAAAAAAGTTTAAAAGAACTTAGAGACCCTTCGATCCCTTTCCATCCACACCACCAGTCTTGAAGAAGTCCCTCACTACACCAACCGAGTAGGCCCCCCCAGCAATCCAGGCCGCGCCCATTACTGCGCGCTTGGTAAGGCTTGCCTTCTTTCTCTGCTGCTGCCCCACCTCCTCCTCCTGCTGCTGCTGTTTCTGTTCCTGCTGCTGCTGGGTCTCAGCAGCAGCCTGTTCATAATGAACCTTTTCACTCGCAGAGGACGGACTCTGACTGGGACTGGGATTGGCCGCAGTAGTAGAGCTAGGCAAGTTATAGTTTACAAATCCCGTCGGGCTAGCGAACCGGCCCGTAGCAACGTGGTAATCTCTCTTCCCGCCGCTCAGGCTTCCGCCCGTCATGTCAACGGGGTTGATGGAGCCGCCGCTGCTGCTTGTTGCGAGGGTACCATCCGCCTGCGCCACCGCTTGTCTCGCGCCGGCGGGCTCATGAACGGTCTGGGATTGAAGAGGGGAAGTGACGCCTTCCCGGACCTTGCGGAAAACAAGAACGTCCCCGGAGCCGGCAACGATCTCAAACCCTTGAGACTCGATGCGGGCAAAGTGTGGGAGAAACTTGGAGATGTTGGTGAGGCGGGTTAGCACGTCGGCGGGAGAGGTAGGGGTGTTGGAGTTGGAGGGGAGGATGCTGGAGGTGGTCTCAGCCTCTTCGACGAATTGAGTGTCGGGGTTGAAGGCGAGGATTTTGTAAACAGTTGGGTTGGTGGTGGTGGGCTTGACTGGTTGTGGCTTCGAGACCGCAGACGATTTGGTGGTCTGGGCATCTTCGTAGGTGAAGGCTTCCAAGGGGTTCTCTTCGCTGAGAGTGTCTTCCTCTGCGGCGTGGGCCTGCCTCTGCCCTTGAGCAGAAGCGGCGTACTTGCCATCGGGCTCATGGCTCCTGAATGCACCATACTGAGACAGTTCCTCGGAAAGCTTGGCCGCGTCGACTGCATCTCCTTCCAGTCCCGCACCAATGGCAGGCTGCTGGCGCTCGCGGAGCTCCTTTAGTACCGAAGGTTCTGACCTAGGCTCAGCGCGCGCCATCTCCGCAGCGTACTTCCCATCGGGCTCATGGCTGAGGAATGGTTTACCGTACGCATCTAGATCTTCGTACTCGGAGTAGTTGGTATATTCCTTCTCCGTTTTGTACATGCCATCAGGTTCGTGGGCGCGGAAGGCACCATACTCAGCCAGCTCGGCAGGATCATACTCGGAATAATTGACAAACTCCTTCTCCTTCTTGTACATGCCATCGGGCTCGTGGGCGCGAACTGCGTCATACTGGGCTAGTTCGGCAGGGTCGTATTCCTGGGTATTGCTGAATGACTTCTGCTTCTTGTACATACCGTCCGGCTCGTGAACACGGACTGCATCGTACTCGGCCAGCTCCGCTGGATCATATTCGTCATAGTTGTTGACTCCCTTTTCTTTCTTGTACATACCGTCCGGCTCGTGAACACGGACTGCGTCGTACTCGGCCAGCTCCGCTGGATCATATTCGTCGTAGTTATTGACTCCCTTTTCCTTCTTGTACATGCCGTCAGGCTCGTGAACACGGACTGCGTCGTACTCGGCCAGCTCCGCTGGATCATATTCGTCGTAGTTATTGACTCCCTTTTCCTTCTTGTACATGCCGTCAGGCTCATGAGTACGGACTGCGTCGTACTCGGCCAGCTCCGCTGGATCATATTCGTCGTAGTTGTTGACTCCCTTTTCCTTCTTATATTTACCGTCAGGCTCGTGAACCCGGACGGAATCGTATTCGGCCAGTTCAGCCGGGTCGTATTCTTGAGTGTTGGTAAATTCTTTCTGCTCCTTGTACTTGCCATCGGGCTCGTGGGCGCGGACTGCGCCATATTCGGCAAGCTCAGTCGGATCGTACTTGTCCTCGGCGGCGACGTTCTTGTACTTGCCATCGGGTTCATGGCTGCGTACTGCGCCATACTTGCCCAATTCTGTCTCGTCGGCAGGCACTTCAGGAGTGTCTTTGTACTTGCCATCAGGTTCGTGTGCCTTGATAGGTCCGTACTTGTTAAGGTCCTCATATGTCGCTTCTTGCTTGTTGATAGCCTCAGATACTTCATTAGCTACCGGTTGCGGTTGGGAACCCAAAGGCGGCACGGCTGTGGTCGCGGCAATTCCCGCGTTAGGGTGCCAAGACACTTTAGCTTGATCCGATGACAGGGCGTTCAACAGGTCAGGAGCAGGTGTGTCCTTGAGGAGCACATCCGAAAGAGACGGGGCAGATGCTGGATCAATCGGGTTCCATGGGGCGTCGTCGACCTTGACCTGGCTGTAGACCTTGAGCTCCGCCTCTGGAGGAGGGCCGTCATAGAAAATGGGTTTGGAGGCATCTAGCTCTGGAGGGTTGAGGTTGGTAAACTGAGATGTATAGGGACTGGATAGCGGGGCCTTGCTATTGAGGCCGAATGTGGCCGATTTGAGGACCTTGCGGTTGGTGATGGGGTCAATCACGTATTCGGAGTCCGCCTTCACCGACTTGGACTTGTTCTTGTTGCCCCGACTGCGCTTTGACTTCTCAAGAGGCGTCTCTGCCTTTGTCTTGATCTGTGTCTTGGCGTCTCCGAATAGCAAGTCCTCCAGGGGTGCACGCTCTGCATCTTCGATGTTTTGACCTGGCCGGATGCCGGTTGGGTTGTTGATGGTGTTGGCAGCAATTTCCTCGTCGAGATGTCGCCGCCCTGCGTTTTCCTGCTCAACGGGGTACCAATAGTCCTTGGACATGCGCTTGATGGTTGACTTGGCATTCTCAGCCAGGGGGTGCTGCTCCCACGAGAGTCGGCGGTTCAAGGTCTGGAAGTATTTGTAGCGAATTCTGCGTTGGCGATGGCAGACATCTTGAGTGTACTCGGGGTCGAGGTAGGAGGACCACGTACGACCGAAGCGAAAGCCTCGTGTTTGCTGTTGTTGATGATGGTGGTGGCGAACTACAGCGGCGCCAGAAGCCAGAGAGGAGGCCTTGGCCCAACCAGCACGGTAAGAGGGAGTGGAAGCGGAAGTCAACGACATGGCGAATACTGCAGTGTTATGAGGGTTGAAACTGAAGTGGCATTTCTTGGCTTAAAGGTAGCCGAAGCGATAGTTAGTTTATTGTCAGTTTCAAAACTCAAGAGGAAAAAGAGTAGGTAGAGGGAGAAGAATGCAATGCAACGCACTGACTGCCATGCATGACGGCAGTCTAAGAAAAAAAGGCAGGTATGCGGCACTAATCCGGATGGCGGGGCACTTACACGACAAAGACGGAAGTGGCCAATGCTACGGATTGGACGTCAAATGATGACGATGACGATGGACTAATTAGTAAACACAGGGCACCCGTGTTTCCAAGTTTCAGTCACGAACTGATTTGGAGAAAGAGGTTGTTGTCAGGGTGGGATGGTTGCGCGGTGCCACCACACTATGTAGGTAGTGTAGGAACGTGAAAAGCCAAGTAGAGGAAGAACAACCAGAAGAGGATATGAGACTGGAAACTGAACCAAGAGAGAAAAAGTACACGATGGACACACAACGATGGGGAGCCATGGTGGGTTTTAATAAGTTCATCCATTCCTTCAACCGCTCCCCGGTTTCAATCCCATGCCAAGGGCAACAGTCCTCGCTCCTCACAGTGAGGGGACTTGTGCATGGGACGTGCAGTCTTGTTGTCCCCGGTGCCTACATCCGCTTACCAAACTCGGAAGCGGCACACGGAGATCAAGAAGACGATCCGCTCACGGAACCAAACATTGTTGCAGCCATGGCGGCCACGAGCTCCACGACGGCTTGGCAGCAGGAGGTAGAAGTGCAGCAAGGTCTGACTTTTGCAGACTGTGTGAGAGGGGAGACGGGATTCGGCATCAAGAGGTTTGGAAAGTCAGCCAATCTGTTGGACGGAAACAAAGGACACAAGGTGAGAAACCGGGGGAGGGGGGGTACACTAGTATCTGGGGATGATCATCTTAAGAGAGGGGGTTACGTAGTACTAGCGTACACAGTAAAAACGAGGGGGGACATTGGAGACCCCAACACCCCAACATTGACTTCTTTTGGACATGGCCAGGGGCTGATGGGGTGGACCCCTTTCTTGTTCTTTGAGCCAAACAGAGATGGCATTGTCCTCCGCCTTTGTCACAAGATATGGCCCGACAGTTACTCAATCCGAAGCCTCTTCCGTGGCTCTCGAGCGTCTGAATGGCTGACGGCAGCAGTACCCTTGCACCATTGCATTCATACGCCAATACACTACTGTGTAGTGTACGCTACGCAAGGTAATGTTCACCCAGATTTGGACCCTTTCGGCGTATCCAAGAACTGTTTGATGTACAGTGGAGGTGTGTGGCATTGTGGCCAGAAAAGTCAGTCGAGCCAAGCGATCTCCTGCTGCTCTGCATAGTGTTGAGCTGAGGAGGGAGACGGGCCGACAGACACCTGCGACGACACAAGGACCATCTCGAATCTCGATGAGAGGGAGGGTCCCCAAACAAAATCCAAGAACCGGTTTGGAACGCTGACGTTCACTGTGGGTTCTCTTATTCCCAGCTCCCACGATGTTAGTCTTGGTGGAGCAAACCCGTGGCATCCGGGGAGCGCCGGGGGGCTGACAGGGTCCACAGGGCATGCATTGGAACATGCATTGGTGTCGATGTGAAGGGGAGAGCGCTAAGGGACAAGGTCACCCTGCTAACCCGCCCTCTCGCCACCAGACTGGGTCGACGCCAAGACAGGAGCAACAGTTGTTTGAAGGAAGTTGGTGATGATCGGTCAGTGTGAGAGAGTGATTGGAGGCACTGGAGGAGGACAACATTCCATGAAATGGAGGGTGACTGATGAATGATGAACACTCACGCCCAACCACCTGGTCAACCGGCCATCTCACCCACTTCTTCATTCGACGATGGCTTCGGCCTTGGTAACTTTTACACAGAGACATGGCAAGGCAAGACCTCCTTGGCTGGCTGTGATGGCTTCATCTATCAATGCTTTGTTTACTTCACAGTATAATGCACGAGCCAACAGCATGAGTCATTGTCCCGGCAACGACAGTGTGGACCTAATATGTATGAGTAATACAACAAGAGCTTCTTAGGGGAGAGGGACAATAATTGTTGCTCGACAACAAGCCAACATCCCAAGAAACTGCTGTCTGACAGATGCTCAAGATCGACTGTTGGCTCTGCCGCCTGTTTGTCATTTGCTATCTGGGCGTCCATCCGCTTTGGGCTGTGCAAAGTGGAAGACTCAAAGAGGTTATCCGACCCGCCGATCACCTTCCGGCTCGTCTTGGGATTTGAGGAGCTTCGGTTTTTCCGGAGCGTCCATGTTTTCCTCTCCCATCATTTGTGACCCAGAGCAGTGAGACATTCGGCAGGCAAAGATCAAAGTGGGCAACCCGGGCCTGCTGGATCGGATTCCAGCAAAGCGACACTGTTCGAGATGTTACATAGTGTAGGGTCTCAGAGTCTGAAAACCAAACCTACTTGCCCTATGTTTGACGATGCCAAAACTGGCCAAGTTGGTTTATGCTGTTAGTGCTCTGTATACTGAGGCCAATGTGAGCACTAACATTACACGTCAAAATGTGCCCCTCATCACGTGCACCGCGATTTTACACTCCAAGCGGGCAGCTACCCCACTACCTATGACCGATGCAGGAACCAGGAAAGGTAGACCGAGAAGGCCGTCATTGAAGCCGAGCATCATCATACCGGGCAGGCTCATCGCCGTAACCACAGCGGTCGTAACAGCCAAGAGTATATCGCGATGGTGGCATGAAGTTTTGCACTAAACACCTAGCAACTTTGTACTCGCTCCTCTGATAGACATCTCGGATTATGAGCGCGACTGAGCTTGGAACAGAGTGTCATTATTTTTCATCCACAGCTCTAAGCTAGGTCTAGTGTTTCTCCAGCTTTGGCATCTCTTCGCCGTGCCTTTTGTACGACTTCTTTTTTATTGCTTCCTCGCCTTTATAGTCGAATCTGGCCTCTGAATCACTCAAGTCCAACGTATTTATAGCCAACGACACACGGCCACCATGAAGAAAGGAGGATTCGGTTCCGGCGGCTTTGGCGCCTTCTCGTCGTCAACAGCTTCGCTATCCTACGTCGCTCCGCCTCCCGACCTCTCCAGCGTCCCCCAAGACGTCATCGTGCCCTTCAAGAACCTCCTCAAGCGAGACAGCACAACAAAGTCCAAGGCTCTCGAAGAGATATTAGCATGCGTCAAAAAGTCCGACCAGCCCGTCGACGACTCCGTCATAGACGTCTGGGCTCAACTCTACCCCCGTGTCGCCATCGACAACAACCGCCGTGTCCGAGAACTCTCCCACAACCTCCTCCTCGAGCTCGTCAAGTCAGCCAAGAAGCGCATTGAAAAGACCCTACCGAAGCTGGTCGGCCCATGGGTTGCTGGCACTTTCGACAAGGACAAGGGCGTCGCCCGCGCTGCCCTCGCCGTCTCGGCTCACATTCTCGACTCAGACCAAAAGAAGGCAAAGTTCTGGATCGCGTTCCAGGGCAAGCTCCTCGAATATGCCAACGAGGCCATCCGAGAAACAGCCGACTCTCTTAGTGACGAGAGGACGACATCCAAGGAGGATATGGAGGCCAAGTACTACCGTGTGCTCGGAAGTAGTATGGCCATGATCCAGCACCTGTTGCCCACAGTCAAAGACGACCAATACCCCGACGAACTGAAGCGCTTCTTTGACGCCGATACTCTTTGGACCTTGGCAGCCTCCGATGATGCGTCCGTACGCCGCGCCTTTTACCAGCTCGTCGCAAGTTACCTCGACAACAAGCCTGGTCTCTTGGAACCCAAACTGAAGGATGTTGGCAAGGTACTGGTGGCGGAAGGCCCCAAGAAGGAACAGAGAGGCTCAGCCGTGGACCTTTTGAGGGCATTGATCAGCGTTACAAAACGTTTTCCCAAGGTTTGGGGCAGCAAGAGTCCCTTGGACCGCTTGCGGCCGTTGGTCCAGAAGGGTTCCCAGGGAGGGTCGGATGAGTACTGGACGGAGTTGGATCAGTTGCTTGCCATTTTGCCAACATCTTCCCCAGATTACGCTGCGAATGCCTCGGCGTTCCTCAAGTCCATGAGAACTGCCATCACGAGCCGTGAGGAGCGGCGTCAAAATGCCGCGTCTGCTTGGGCCTGTTATCTTAACACGGTCGATCGTATTACCGCGGGCTCTACCCCAAGCCCGGATTTTCTTCAGGAAAACCTGTACCCATTAACTCGGGAATACTTGCATCCTTCCACGGAAACATCGACGTGGGCCTATGCGCAGCCTCCACATGTGTTTAAGGCATGGAAGATTGTACCATACACAACAAACGAGCAAGTACGGTCATCAGCAAAGGAAGAATGGCAGAAGCTTGGTGATGACTTTGCTGCGGGTCTTTCCAACTCTCTCCCTGAAGTTTCCCCCGATTATGAAAAGTCTCAGTTAGAGCTGGCAGCCCAAGGTGATCGCTGGTTCACTCTAGTACAAGGCTTCCTGAGGGGGGCACCCAGCCAACAGAGCTTCGATGGCGATGCTGATCTTCCGAGTGTGGTCGCTTCGACCTCAAGAAATTTGTTGGAAAGCGCACAAGATCTGCTTGCCAGGCGAAACTACAAGCCTTTCTGTGCTGCGGCTGTCCTAAAAGCCGCCTTCACCAAGGCTCCAGGCCTGTGCTCCAAGAGCGATCTGATCAAGAAGGTTTTCCCACTCGACGACCAAGAAGCTTTCGAGAAGATCGTCGTTTCTCGATCACTCCCGCTTCTGGCATCTTGCCTTGCCGCCGTTACTCCTGATCAGCCTGATTTCTCCGAGCAGGTCTGGGTAAAGCTTATTGACGCTGCTTTGAGCCATGGCTTCCCTTCCGGCGCGCCAATCGTCAAGGAACTGGTGTCTGTTCCTCTTCCTCAGGCGATTGCGCAGAAGAGCGAGGCACTGCAAAACTTCATCGTCGAAGCCTGGCAGGACTTTTCCAAGGAGGAGCCTTCGTCTCCCGTTGTGGAACAACTTTGCAGAGCCAGCATCTCTCATTCTGTTGTGGATGACAAAACGCTACAGTCTCTTGCTAGCTCGTTTGCGCAGGATATTGGTGTGGCTGGAAAATATGATCCTGAGTTCAAAGCTCTCGATCTGTTACTTCGCAACAAGTCGGCCCTGTTCGCAGATACCCCGGTTGATCTTTTCACGAGGCTCTTATCCCTGGAGGAAATATCGGACTCTGAAAAGGCGACCAAGGTTGCGGCTATAAGATCTCTTATTCAGAAACAATATGGCGGGGACAAGTTGTGGCTTGAAGTCATTCGCCTTAGCTTGGCTGAGGCCGATCCCTCTTCTCTTGATATCGACACCTTGATCCGCCATGCCAAGGAGATCCTGAGCTCTGGTGTTCCTTTGACTGACCTTGTCCCATCGGCGAAAGCATGGAATACTGAGCTTTACAGCTTTTTGCGGGATAACCCAGATCCTTCCCTGTCTATCACCAGCAGTTTTGGCGGTGCCTACTTCCTGGCAA